AGTATTAATTAGCATGGCTCACTAACCAGGGACGTAATATTTGCAAATGAAACTCTAGAAGGGCATCAGTAAGGAACAGAATGTTGAAGCCAAATGGAAAACATGAACCAATAAAAAGGCTGAACTAGCTAGAAGTGCAAGCTAAGCCTTTGAAGTTAGTTCAAGTACTGCATGCTTTAATTTTGGTGTAATCTTATGATGGAGGTACAAACAAGAACTCAGAAACAGATTTTGTAACATTTGGCCCAATTGTAGATGAATCAGTTTGTTGATGGTTACCAACAATTGCACAGCCAGAGAAGCTGTGGTCTTTGTTAAATTAGATTGAATAATTGGCTTCAGTGGGAGTTTCGGGTGCAGAGCAAATGAAGTGTCACGGCCCTTGACTCTCGTAAGATTCCTTAGCAGAGGCTAAGCTTTTGCGTTCAGAACAACCTGAATAAGGATTCAGAGAAAATAAGTCCCTCAAGAGTTGATCTACTGACTCCCCTGCCCCAATATGGGTCCGAAAATACTTAGTCATTCCTGGCAGATGTGCATAACTTATCTGTTTTTAGAGCCCCTCTGATGACAGTAAAGATACCAAAAGCTCTCTGGGCAGTTTGTTTCCAAACAGAACTATTGTCTTGTAATACAATCTTCCATTAGTACTACATTACCCTGACAAGCCCAACCAAAACTAGGTATTTCTGTGGTTTGATTTTGTTTTGTTATTTTTTTAATATACTTTTGTGTGGAACTGCAGTGACAAAACCATCCTTTCCTGGTGTTTCACTCAAAAAAAAAAATAAAAAATCACTGCTTTTGTCCTTTGGACAGCTTTCTGAAGGCCTACTACTGCCAGGTGCTGAGCACCTCTGGAGACATGAATTAAGAGAACGAGTTTCAATACATTCAGCAAATTACAGAGATCAGGCAGCCAGAAGTTAAGATGATCTTTGAACTGGAAGGTCATAAATGGAAAATGAACATAATCATACACACTCTCCTTTTTTAGATCAAGTATTCACTTCGTTAGCTTTAAAATAGTAAATCATTTATTGTAGTCTTTAGTGAATGGCCCAACACATGCTGTAAATTACTTTCTCATTTGTGAGAAAAAACACAGGGAAAGTTAATTTTTTTTCTTGAATATGCTTTCTAGAAGAAAAAGAACTCCCCCAAAACACATTTATTTCTCTTTCCAGCATCTGTGTAGCCCCCTGGAAAGAGTCATACTCCTCAACAAAGCAAGTGTAATGGCTCTGTCTTCTCAAATGCAAGTGAGTACAAACCCAAACATTTTAATGAAACAAAGACCTTCATTTAAAAAAAAATACACAGAAGAAAATGGTTGGAATATTGTATAAGGAAAAAGATGATACACATCAAACTTAAGCCCTTTGTGATTATGACAATAAAGAAGTTTACCAAACAAGGTAATTTTACGCATATGTTGTATTGTGTATTGTGTGTGTATATATACGTCTACATGCCTGTACACACTCATGCACACACAAAACTGTAAAGGTGTAAATTATTCTAGAGATGTGACAGATTCAATTCCCAAAGTACTGTTTTCAGGAATGAGTGGTATCCAAGCCAATCAGGGTCTGGGGTTTACAAACCCAGTGCTGATCATTTGGGGCTCGCAGCTGGGATAAAATTCATTGAACTGCCTACAGGTGAAAACTACTAAGAATGCTGTAAGCTTGTTGAATGCATTTACTGAACCATAGGCACCACAGCCTTTTGCAATGAATATTTCCAAGGAAATCTCTGTATTAACTGACTTTGTCAGATGAGGAGTATTGCATAAGCTATTGTGTGCCTGTGAATTCCTTGAGTGTGATGCTGTGTGGTTTTTTTGCTTGCCTTGTCATTTGTTTCATTTAGCTTTCTCATTAATAGCACAATTGCCTTGCTTTGTTCAAAAATCCTATTCTGAGAAGCAAGTATTACTTTCTTCTTTAACTTCTTGCCAACAAAAGATTTTCAAACACATGTGGTACAGAGGAATCATACAAGATTGTTTAGAGCAAAATGAAATATCTAAAATCAAAAGCACAAATCCACTTACTACACTTCCATTTTTCCTTTGATATAAAATCAAATCTTAACGTGAGAAATGCACACAGTTCATCAGCATGCTATGAGCAAATACATAATTAACATGTGGAATAAGCAATGCTGTTGTCAGCGCTTTCACATATGTTACCACAAAACTAAAATATTTTAATTAGTAGAGAAATAGAGGAAAATCCGAGTAAATGCAGCTTGTGCTTGACATATAAATTAGCTTGGCTCAATGAGTATTAAAAACAAGAGAATCTCATGTCTACCTTGACTACCCTTTACCATACTAGGACAGCTTAGTCGTACTGTATGATTCAAATCTGCTTCAGTGCTCTGATAAATTATTACTTGGCAGAAAAGTCTCCATTGTGGCCATTGCACAAATGCTTTACTAAATCATTGGTAGAAATCAAAATGTGCGAGTTCATTAGCAGGTAAGGCAGAAAGTGTAGACTTTGGTGTTTTGTATTAATCCAATGTGCTGGACTAACAGAACCTTATTTGAAGACTATGTTATAAGAGGAAAAATAAAAAACTATATAGCTATACCATGTGGCTTCTGATTTGGGAACTACAATTTAGCCTATTAGACGTGGACCTGTTCCAAAAGTGCACATTCAAACAATCATGCATGAAGGAGTTAGAAACACAGATGTGAATTATAACTCTCTGAAATCCTGGGAATGCTCCAAATCAGGCCATTAGAGGTAGGTTTGAACTGTAACTACACATTCGGATCTAAAATTTTTGTTCAAACCTGTCTTTCCATAACATTTTTACAGCAACTACTGAATATATTAAAACCAACAGCGTTCCATAAGCTTAAGAAAAAATACCAGTTAACCCCATCTTAGCTATATGATTCTCATGATTCTCAGTGGCTGGCTAAAAACATTTCTAGTAACAAAAATCATCAGTTGAATGTAGTGGGACAGTTTAAATAGGTCAAATTCAAGCTGGATTACAGCTCCATTGGCCAAATACAGATTTACAGTGATCACTTTGGCCCAGTATTTAACATTAGAAACATAAATAATTTAAGGATTTTCTTTTCCAAGTTTGGGACAGAACTTTGAAACATCTGGTCTCTTTTCAGTACCTTTTACACACACAGGCCAAAGTCAACATTTTTGACTGGATCAATAGTGTTGGGTGGGACTGAGGTGGGCCATTTCATAAGCATGCAAGTGATAGAAAATGTCCCCCATTACACTGGATAAGGCACCCAAGGAGCAATGAAGGGACACCTGCCATTTTTCAGTGCTCTCAACAGAGGAAACTGAGGGTCCCAAATCTATGGAAATACTCAGTTCATTGATGCTTTTATCTGTAAATCATTAATGCACGTTTCTCTTTTTTTTGAAGTCAAACATATTTGCAAGTGAGTCAGAATGATTCTTCTCATGTAAAAGATGTAGAAGTTGTGGCCCAAACCAGTCTGGCCTTGGCCACCAGTTACTGTATAATAAGAGAATCAGTAACAGAAACGGGGTCTGCTGAATCAGGTCTACTACTGTATCTGCACAGCACCACTCTCTCCATTTCTGATCTCAATGTCTGATGATTAAAAACTAGATTTCCACACCTTGAAGGAGACAAATGAAGCCACAGCTCATCATCTAAGACCATTCCCCATTAATAGTACTTAAGAAACAGCCAATCAAAAGGGATCATGAGGAGTGCAGACACAATGGCAGTACAGACACAAATGAAAAAGCATTTTGCCCTTTTTAAATGGTCTGGTAATGACCACTACCATTCTTGCAACCTGTTGTAAGTGTGCATCTTAATAACATAATGCAGCACTAGGTATTTTCAGGAATTTGTCTCATAGTCTAACATTTTGTGTCATGCAGTAGCAGGAGAGATGTCAAAACAAAATGTATAAAGCTCCTTTTGAAGTGCATAATCACAGTTTGTGTTGATATCAAAAGTATTTGAATGAGCAACTTCAGAACTGCACTCTCAAAGATTATTAAATGTTTTAATAAATATGCCATATCTGATGGGAGAAAAGTGAAGTACACAGTACTTAATATAAGTACTTACAAATCTAAAAGATGGTTTAAAAAAATTCCAAAATAGTCCTCATATGTTGCATTATTTGGAAGTAAACCACAAAAGCAAGGCTGAATGAGTATGATTGGGTTGTGTATTTTGAATGACACTAAAGCATAAATCTACCCAGAAGAGTTTTCTGTGTTTACAGGTTTCTGAAAAAGATGATTGGTTTTATTGTCTGGAGCAGTAAACTCCACATAGACTTCTGAAAGTTTCAAAGTATACATACTTCAAATAAACAAGGGATAAATTTTAGTTGTTTAAAGGGAGAGGTGCTAGGGTTGTTGAGAAAAACTTTTCAAGCCCTTTAAAACTGCTGAGCTCATAGAGGTGGTAGATCAGCAATCTGAGGGAGAATAGATGTGAAGAACAAAACAAAAGCAATAGCAAGGCAAGTTTTCTGAAGTGATACAGAATCATCATTTAGAGTCATAACATTTCGTTAGTTCTCAGGCTCTCTGCTGGAACTGGTCCCACAGGATGAGACTAACACCAGTATTCCATTTCAGGTGTATCACCAAGTAGCAGTTCCAAATTATCTGCCATTGCATCAGATTGGATTCAGTAACACTGAAATTAAAGGGTCCCTGTCTCCTAATTTATTCCCTGTCCAATCGCCCAATATTTCTTTAAAATTAACATATAAAATGGAAATAATGATATTACATTACATGTAGTTCTAGCATTACTAATACATATGATCCTTCTTAACTGCATACCAAAGACATGGCCTATAAATGGTACTTAGTGCATGTGTGTGTATGTACATACATATTTCACTTAACAGGGAGACAGAACTGCAAACTGGATTGAGAGTAAGCTTCAGTTTGCAGAACTTTGAGTGAATAGGGCCAAAACTCTACTCACTCACTGACGTACACTAAGTACTTCTTTTGGGGTTTTTTTAAGTTTGATAGCGATGTATGGTATAAATCATAATAACTGTCTGGGACAGTAGTTTTTGCTTGAGGTAAATTTGCTGGTAAATTTTTATTAATAATTTGGCAAGGCTGGAACATATTCATGAGGAGACAAGTATCTGGATAATATTTTTAATTTTTTAAGTAATTGAAGTGTTATTCAATCATAACTACCAGCATCAGATAAGTAATATCTACACATTATTTAACTGCCTCAAAATGCCTTGAAGGCAAGAATACAGCAAAACAGAAACTGCCTGCCACATTTCAGCTTTTGGTTGCGTGTACTGTACTGACCACAGCAATAGAAGGTTGCCTTCCACATGCTTTTTAGACTGACATACATCAGTGCATTTATGGCATTTCATGAATCTTCTTTGCCTTTCACATTAATGAGTGGTAGGCCACACAGTACCACATGTGCTGTGCTCATTACAAGATGCTGTGTTCCACCCTCCTCAGATGTACTGAGCACTAAAGTTTGCTGCATTTGTGAAATTTGGGAAAACATAAAAAACAGAGACAAGTGTTTAATGTTTTACTCTCTTGTGGCTTCCAACCAAGGTATCTTCCTCAGGTAATGTCAGATGAGCAAACAACCCAAACATGGCATGCATGAAGCAAACTCTGAACTGTGGGGAAGCAGGAACTGAACCAGTGATCTCCCTTGCTCCTTCTGTGAGAATATATGTGCAGGGCAGCTATGTCCATAAAATAAAGTGTCTTCCTTCCCTGCCAGCCTGTCTGTAGCAACACCCAACGGAAATTCCTTACAATTTTTGGTCATTGTGACAAGAGCAAAAGACTGTTAGTTGATGTTAGTTGCCACTCCTCATTGAGGGGGAAAGCACTCTTGAACGGTCCTTAGCAGCATGGTCTAAGAGCTCCAAGTGAAGAACCTTTACTTCTGACAAAGGAGACAGGGCTGCATGGCTTGTTCTTCTTGTCCAAGAGGTTGGAACAAGCAGCAGAACACAGTCCCATCCCTAACTCAGGGCTAGTCCTCAGCAACTCAGCAACCTGCCTTTCTTTTACATGCAGGAAAAAGTGGAGCCAACAACTTTGTGGCTGGCGACTGGGGTTTAAAGTGGTATGAAAAATGTGGAAAGGTCTATCATCATCCTTCCCCTTGCCTAGCAGTTAATTCTGCCCCTGCCCTCTTTTAATTAATCCCCAATTAATCCGTTGTCCTCAGTCCCAACATCAACTGTGCCCCAAGTCTTTTTAAAACTTATTAAAAATAGAGAGAGCTACACAGGAGCTATGAGCTCCTGCAACTGTCTGGTGAGTAATGCCTTGGGTGAAATGACATTTTAGAAAAATTCTCAATCCCATCTGTGTCCTGATAGATTTTAAGCCTTTCCTGTGGATCAAAACTCAGAAATGAGGCAGAAGGTGTACTTTGGACCAGGAATTAAACTGAACTGGGAACAAACCACAACAGTGTTTGACTTTATAATAACTCACAGACCTCAGGAGTTATCCTTGATGAACAGAAGTTGCATGAATTGCACAGTGAGAGCGTAGTGTGCCAAGACACACTGCTTCAGGGTTGTCAGTTCAATGCAGTGTTTTACTTATTCATTAGATCAAGTACTGAAAAACTGGGTTTGATTATAGGATCGTTAAGACTGAGACTACCTAGTAGTGTGTGCCTTGCATACTTCAGTGGAATCTTACTCTGATTTGAGCCTCAAGGTGTCAGTATCACAGTCAGGTTGGTATGGAACACATTGGAAGATGTTTATTTTCTACACTTGATAATTATCCCATGGTTCTTAATAATATTCCAAGTCATCATCTTTGCTCTGGAAATGTAAGAACAAACCTTGCATGAACATTATATTTATGTCTCCTGGCCACCTCCATTGAATGTCTCTGCATTCCCTTCCTCAGAGAGATTTAAAGTGCCTGAAAAGGTAACAGAATGTCATTGTTGTGTTGTAGCCAGTTGAAATAATCAGAACAGTTCTTCAATAAATGCATCAAAAAGAGAGAGACAAGGTGTGGTGGGACATGCCCTCACCAGCAGCCAGTCTCCCACCCAGCTGCTCATTCACTCATTTCCACCCTCCACCACCGTGCAACCGGACAAAGGGGAAAACCAGGAAAAATAGAAAAGAGAAAGGTCTTGGGGTCAAGGTGAGGACAGGAAGATAGACTACCAATTACTGTTACAGGCAAAACAAAACCTTAAACTGGGGAAATTAATGTATTGCCAATTAGAATAAATCATTTTTGATTCAGGTGGGGAAGAGAAGAAGAAACTAGCATTTACACACTTAGAGAAAACACTTTTTCTCCACCTTTCCCAGGTTCAAGTTCACTCCAAGCACTTCTCCTCCCCTCCTTGCCATCACCACAGGTTGCCCTCAGTCCCTTTGGTGAGGCACTGTGAAGCTCCTTCTTCCTTCTCACTCTTTTCCTCTGCTGCAGCCTGGGTCCTCCACAGACTGAGGGAATATTTGCTCCAACACAGAGTACCCTCTCCTCCTCAACCTCCTCCCCAACCTCCTCCTCTGGCCTTGGTATTCCCTCTGTTGTTTATCACTCTTTTTATTCCATCCTTCCCTCTCTGGATTTCTTTGCTCTTTCTAAAATGTACTTCCCCAAGTTGCCACCATCTTGGCTGAGGGGAGCAGCCATATCCTATGATAAGTCCACTGGAGCCAATTGGAACTGGCTGTGCCTGAAACAGGGCAGCCCTGGCCTCTGCTCACAGCCCTCCTCCTGCCAGCACTTTGCCATTTATCCCCAACAGACAAGGTGTGACCTCTGTAACAAACTGGAGGGAAGCTGCCCGTCAAGAGCAACAGTGGTCTTGTGTAGCACAGCTGAGGCAAATGCCCAAAGGGTCATGATGGAAGAAGAGGAAACCACTCAAAGGCAGTAGGAACACTTGAGCTATTATGAGGGACTGAGCAGGGCAGGCAAATTTCCAGCGGCATTAGAGAATGGGCTGCAACTGAAGCTGGTGGGGGAGACCTCTCAAATCACTCAGGACCTTGAATTTCTTATTGCATTAGCCTGTAGCACAGCCTGATGCCTGGTAAGAATGCAGCTCTCAGGTCTGGAACAACAGGATATCTGGGCTGGTCTGCAGCAAGGACTGCACAGGGCCCACCTCGAGGTTTCTCATCCACAGAGCAGGAGCAAAGGCCCTGTGCCAGGACTCCCCACAATGACATGGGGGGCAGAACAGTGGTACAGAAGGCAGAGTTATACAAAATATAGTTACACCTGTGAAGCTGGATTACTTTAACTGCAACTAGAGGACATGATAAGAGGGCAGAAAGAGAATGTGAGGGAAGACCAAGGAATGCTGCAGTTTTCTCTGAAGTCACATATAGAAAATGCTGCCACAGGAAGATTATGTTCAGACATTTGGAAATTCAGGAGGACTAGTGAAGGCAGGACACCAATTTGCCTAAAATAGCAGTGCTTAGTACATAATTAGAAGAGAAAGGAGGAGCAGAGAAGGAAGGGAAGCAATAGTCCAAGTTCCATTAATTTTCTTAAGTCCACATAATTTCAGCATAGGCTTAAAAAACAAAACAAAACCTCCGGGATATTATTCCTTCTAGGAATTCAAGCTTTGAAGTAAAATATGTTTTTCTGTCTTTATCAGATCTCTTTGCTGTCCTACTTCTTTCTCTTATTCTAATATTTAATTGGCTTTGGTAGAGATGATCTATTGCTAGTTCTGTGTCAGATTCTTGCCAGTAACTCCATGGGGTCTGAGATTTCTCTAGTCACCTCATGCTCCTAGTTAAAATATCTGAACTGGAAAGCTTAGATAGCCTCATTTCAGATACTACCATTTTGCAAAAAAATTCCATCAGGTCAACGTCAGGTCCGCTAACCATGGCTGAAATGAAAAATAATCTTGTCTTCACATTGAGGCTGTAGAGCTTCACTTAAACATGACTTGGGGTGAAATAACTTGCTACTAATGAGCATCAGCACTGACAGCAGGAAAACTAGCTTTTAAGAATCCACATTTCAAAGTACACTTGTTGGCAGTCTGGTGCTCACTTCCTGTGTCTTGGGAACATTTGAGAGTTTACGCTTTGTAGAAATGGTAGCTTTCATAGAACTTTCAGGCTTCAGGGAGGACACAGACAAGGAATCTGCACATGGAAAAAAATAATTAAAATTATGTGAAACCGAAGGAGTTTAACATTACATAGTGCTGTTGCTAGCCTTACTGATAAATGCAGGAATTTAATAAGCAAACAGGTCATAATATCCTTGGGGAAGACCTAAGAGGATATTCATGGCAGAAACCAGGATGAAGCAATGCCTCTCACATCCCCCAAAAACATACTGACAAACTGGTAGAAAGAAGTTTCAGTATCTGCTTGTATGTAAGTTGATGAAGCACAAAAAGCCAGGGAGGTGAAATGTGTGTGTGATTGCCACAACGCTGCAAAATGAAGGATGGCTGAATCCCCCTCTTCAGTAGGACCTCTGCAGTAAAGGCAATGCTGATACCTTGCAACTTTTACTGACCCTTTGTTAGAAAACTTATCACTCACTAGTATGGTGCAGAGAGCAACTCCCCTGTGGACAGCAAAAGAGAGGCAGAGGTTTATGTATGAAACTCAAAAGAAGAGTAAGCAAAGTCCTTATACTGAGAGAATTTCACCTAAGCTATAAGCTTGTCCTAATAAACTACAGGTTAATCACCTGAAAGGAATGATGATGAGGTTTCCTCCAGATCTTCTTCCCTTTTAATGAGTATTCTCTCCTGCTCCAAGGCTTCTATGTACTTGGAATAGGACCAGGAAGCCTGCAAGAACCATTAAACACCATCAGCCTTCAGAACACGTCACTGTAGTTCCTGGCTCATATCAACAGTGAGATAAAAAACTTGTTTATGTTAAAACCCTGTTATTGGATAACCACAATTATTAAGAAGATTCTTTTCATTACAGTATTGGAATCATATGAAAAATAGTATTGCTTCAAATAAGCAAATCTCAAAACACCATGATTTAAGCAAGTTTGACAGATGCAATGTTTACATTTATTCTCCATCCCTGGTCTGTCTTATTCGCTCTCTCCTTTCATCTTCTAAACCTAAATACAGCAGATCTTTCCCCTCCCAAAATATCTGCCATTTGTGCTATTGAGGATTTGATTTTATCTCCCTGTCACATCCTTTGAGCATGTCCTTTTTTAAATCATTGAAGGTCTCATTAGCCTCTCAGTTCTTTCTGCCTGCTTTCTCTAGCAGAATGCTACTACCACTAGAGGCTAATCAACTGGAAACATCATCCTTTCTTTTTCTAAGGATCAAGTGTTGCTCTTTGCATTGCAACAACCACAGTTCAGGTTACATGTAAATATTAGGTCACTCTCCTAAAACAGCTGGGAACTGCGTTTTTATTCGACCCAATTTTTTTCCTTACAGCATGAGAAGTTTGGGGCCAATTTGTCATATCACAACTCAGTAGAACTTCTAGCACCTTCCTATAGCAGAAAGGGTCTCGGAGAAGAAAAAAGAAACTGCCCTTTAAAAGATTATTGTTTGTTCTGTAGTTACTTGCCTCTTCTTGAGGGCTTAAGCGTATGCCATGGATATACTGACTTGCTCAACTCAATTTAAAAACAAAAAGAAATAAAAAAAATAGGTATGAGCAAAAGTAAAAAGGTCCATTTAAGGGACAAGGGTGTAAGCTTAACTATGCAATTTGCTTCAGATTTTGGGGGTATTTCAGACTGCCCATTTCTATATTCTGCTCATCACTAACATAATGCCACGAGAAGCATTCTGTAGAATTCAAGCAGTGGCTAAAGTGGGATTTACTCCTGTGTCACACAGCATAGCTGGTATTATGTGGTTGCACAGATTCCCCATTATGTTATGGCAGTGCCAACTCAGCCATGAATGATCCCTTCATATGCCCCAGGTAGCATGTCTGTTCTTCCCATTTCTCCAATCAAATGTCTGTTAACTTTTCACTATAGGTTAGATGCATAGTGAGAGTTGTTATGGAAGAAGTCCTAAAGTAGTATTTGCTGTCAGATTTTCAAATACCTAGATTTCCTGAAGGAGTTCTGCTTCAGTTTTTGACATATGAACAGAACAGAACTCTAGCTCAAACTGAATTCTTTCAGGACAGGAATTTCACAAGTAATGAAAAGCTTCTTATTCCGGAACTGAACTATCTTTTCTTCAATTTATCTTTACAAACAGATTCTTTTTTAATCTATACACCGTAAGAGCTTAACATGCTGTCAGCCATTAATAGTACTCAGTACCTAAATCTTAAAAAAAATCAAGAAAGAAGGAAAAAAAATCAGCTGTCAGGTAGGTAAACTTAAAACAGCGAAGCTAATTGTGGAAGAATGAACAGTTATTGAAGAACTATGTGACAACAGTATTCAAAACCTAACTCCCCCTTCTTGCTCTCCCAAGGTCATTTTGTCTCTCTTGAATGATTGATCCGTAGAAACGTGTATTATTCACCTCCCACCCAAATCCATCTAAAGATGGTGCTGAGCCTCTCTTCATGTCAATCGTATCTACCAAAGCACCCTTTGGCAGTTGAGTCAAGGAACCCTTTGGCATTTGAGTCAAGTCACTCTTTTGCAGCTGAGTCAAGTCACTCTTTTGCAGCTGAGTCAAGGCACTCTTTTGCAGCTGAGTCAAGGCACTCTTTTGCAGTTGAGTCAAGGCCCTCTTTGACAGTTGAGTCAAGTTGATGAGTTTTCTCTCTGCTTCTTTACCCTGCTAATAATAAAAACTCATAATTAGATGTGAACAATAATTACGGTGCTAAAGTTAAAAGCAAGGCCTGAGGAACCAAAAACTGTCATTGGAAATGAGATAGGTTCACTTGCAGTAATGTTTTGTAATGCTCAGTTTCATAATACATCATGTTGGGCGTATTAAAAAATAGCAGAAGATAATGCTTTTTAAAAGCATTTCTTTGTTCTAGTCAATGATTCCTGGCCTCTACAGTCCTGCAGACCATCTTCCTTTCAGATTCAATACCTGCTCCAAAATATAGCTAAGTGACAGGGCAGATCTGCAACAGAACATATTTTAAGGACAGAGAGAACATTGTGAGCCTCTAATTTGGCCTCATGTATAAATGAAGAATGTAGGATTTGTGGTGATTAATTCCATCTTGGTCCAGTAGCTGCGAATGAACTACAGTATACAAGTTAGGAAAACAGGCAATCTGATTTAAAACATTTACAATGAAGACCAAGGCATCGTAGCACTTCGTAAAATGCTCTGGTGATTAACTGTTCATCATTTTCATATTGCTTTTGTGTTTTATGAAGGCTGCACCTTTGCACATTCTGTCTGATGATCTCAAAATTCTTTATAAATGTTAATCAATGTTCATACTTGACCTCACACAGTTAACCCCATAACACCTCCAAGAGCTGAGTAATATAAGCCTCCCATGTTAAATGAAAAAGTAAGGGGAGGGGAGATGGAAAGAGGTCAAATTGTTCCCAGAGTCACTTAGCAAGTCCCTGAAAGATCTGGAAAAGGATCAAACTATCCTGTTTCCTTCCTCATAAAGTGCCTTTTCCTTCCTCATCACCCCCATTGTCCTATGAACCCATCAGCTCTAAGAGTGACTTTCGGGTACAGAACTGGCCAGGCAGTGTGATGTTCACCTTCTCTCCAGGAACAGGCTTAGTAACTTCTGTGGCACACTCAGTTGATGAAACAGGGATGCCAAAGCAAATACAGAGGTAGCATGTACACTAATGCACTACAGTTTATGTTTGTTGGCTTTCTCAATGAAAATGGTGAATTAAGTGAGGTCTTTAATAATGTCTTCTCATAATAAATTAGGCAATGTTATGGCAATGTCATATCCCATGACATTACACCACTAACTAACAAATAAGCTTATTGCTAAGAAGCGTAAAGAGAGATGACAGAAACATGGAAAAGGAAAATAATGTTTATGGCTTTCTTTGCTAAGGGTATGGAAAGACTAAATACAGATTTATAGGGTAAGGTAAAACTGCTTTGTGCACTTCAAAGCAAAAAAATCCAAAATCTACTTTGGAGGTAAAATGCAATTATGTATATAACAAATTACTAGCACTGGCATCAAGGCAGTCTGCAAAAAGTGACGAATATATATTTTAAAGTGTGTGGCATGTGCCTCTAGCAGTTAACAAAGGAACAAGTCCATTGCCAGGAAGCCTTCGATAGAATTTGCCCCCTAAATAACAAATAGGCACACGGAAAAAATATTGAGATAGTCAAATAATACCAAGTTATGCATAATTGTTCACTGAAAAGCTCCTTTTCTGACCATTTTTCCAATTATACTACATAAAAGTCCAACTTATCTGTTCAGCTCTAAAACTGAGGTGAGCCTAAGTAGACTGAGCACCCCAGGGACACATTTTTGAGGAAAAAGAAAGCAAATTCCTCCCCCAGGACTATGATTGTTCATTTTGACATAAACCCAAAATAGCAACTGATTTGTGGAGTGGAGGGGAAATATATATACGAAAAGTTGTTTCTAACCCTTGCCAGAGCTTTCCTCTCATTCAGCGTGAGCCTGGTGGGGCAGAAGAGCATAGACCTTATTTTCAATGCCAAGACATCATCACCTTCCACAAGCTGCTGGTGGAACTGCTATTGCTTATGTTAGATGAACCTTATCAGTATCCTTCAGGGATACTGAATTATTTGAATAGTTACATTGTCATTGAGAGGACAGAAATCTCAAACAAGAGAACAGGAAATGGCAATTTCTTTAAACAATAGCAGAAAGGGGAAAGGGTTTCAAAAACATTTCAAAAATTTATCTGTTCCACCTATTCATTCAAAAAATTTTAAAAGGTAACCGGTTTACTGATCATTTTTTTCATGAGAAGAATAGTCTGCAAACTGTTTACTGAACTGCATTCTCTGCCTGTCACTTTCTAAAATTTCTTACTCTGTTTCCCAGCCTAGAAGGGTAGTTCACCTTTCCCATTTGTTCTCCATAAAAGCTAGGCTTTTGCCCTCCTGGCCAAGATTTTCTCTTTACTTCCTTGATCTTAATCAGAAAACTTATAGACAGGCCACAAACAGATGGAAAAAATAAGTCTGTGAAAACGCAAAAGTGCATTACTTTGAAATATTGCATTCTTGCAGAATAAGTATTGCCAATGGCCTTGCCAGACATATCTGTATGGAGACAATATGCTTTGGAGAAAGGAACATGAGTTCTTAGATTTTAGGCTTCCCTTGACGTTGGTGTGTGGCCTTGAGTAATGTTTCACTGGTCCTCAGCTTTCATGTGTCTAAAGGAGGATAACAATGTATACATGTTCTTACGGGCATATGTCTTTATCTGTCCAGGTACTCATGTGGTTCTCATCATAAGTAACATCACAACACACGTGTATATGGTATTTAACATATGTAAAGCTCTTTTAATGCTACTTATGATAGTTTGCAAGTCCAGTAATTTCTCTGCCCTTAAAAGAATGTTCTCCTCCCAAAGCTGGCCAAACAATTGTATTTCATAAAAAATAAACTGTTTCAAAGCCTATAATCAATAGAAAAAGAAATACATTACATTTTAATAAAAAAGGCCAAGAAAAACAATTTTACAAACAAGCATTCCACTGTAGAGGTCACAGTTCTGTTAATGTGCTGAAACTGTCTGGAAACTCACTGTGAACAGTCTAACAATTTCACTGTCAAAGATGAGAAATATTCAAGAAAAGGCAAAACCTATGCAAAGTAATCAGTGCATAAATATTTTTTAAAATAATGTGCAGACTTTTCAAATGGTCCTTCTGAAAAATAGATATGAAATTAATTTTGGGTTTGGTTTGCTTTGCTTTCAATAGTAATCCAGAACTATAAATTCTAATATAGGACAATACATCATGAAAGTGCAAACAGGTTTGCAGTTACCCACTGTACACAGATTTATTTTTTTAATTCAGCCTTCTTTTTTGCTCTTCTCTTGGCATAAAAGATGACTAAAATACATTTTTCCCTCTTCTTAATGAAAGAAGTATTCCATTGACTCATCTGCTTCAAGTTAAACCTAAGTATATGCATCGACAGGATTGGGAATTAATCATCCTCGGACTGGGTCACATGTGAAGTTTGAAATCTAACAAAAAATATTTGGTAGCTTTGGAACAGGCTGAGAAAGGGATATTTTAATTCAGGTACGTTTGCTCATGAAGAAGTTTTTATGCAGTTCGTCAGATGTCACCTGAAACTTTGTGAGCCTTACCTTTGCTGTTATCCTTTCCTTCTTTCGCATCTTTTTTTCCTTTTCTTTCTCCAAGGCACGTAGAATTTTTTCACTATCCACATTGCTTTGAAACTTACAGAATTCTGGCCAAAATTTAAACAGAAGAGCAAAAACAGTCATCTGCACAAGAAGAAAAGAAAGTCAATCTTGACCGTATTAAGAAAACAATTTACTGTAAAATAAAATGTAGTTTACCATGCGAATGAAATAACTATTTCTTTTTGAACACACAGCCTTGTTCCTCCCACGTACTCTGTCCTGACATTTCAGCCCAGATTTGCTCGGCACATGCTTTTCATCAGTATGTTTATTACTGGTGAGAAATCTTCCTAAAACACAGTTAAAAGGCACTTTCTTTTTTTTATATTTCCCTAAACAATTGTTTGCATTAATGAGAACATCCATCATTTTTTACAAGTATTCTTGATAAAATATACACCAGTAGAATTGCTTTTGCACCACTGTTCTGCTCAAATATTTCAAATATTCAGTTCATTAGGGAGAGGGCTTTTTTTTTTCCCTCCTTAAGAGAAAGGAAATACTTTTTTGCCTCTGGAAAGACTCTTAAACCACATTACAGATCTATGAGCAAATCTTGGATAATTTTTAAATGATATAATCTCTCATAGGGTCGTTTTTGAACTAGAATAAGGAAAACAATTTTAGAAAAGCAAACAGAGGGGCTCAGTAAATTCTGTTGCTGCACGTACCAAGGCTCACATTTTTCAATTAATTTAGATGTTTAATTCTCATTGAGAAACTTGGCTTCCAAATTGCCAAGCATGCTCAGCACCTCACTGCTTCTGGCTCAATGGACTTGAAAGTGACAAGTGAGTCACTGTCAGGTTCCAGTCACAGTTTTTTGGCCAAGTTCTTCCTTTGGTTTTGTGCCACATTTCTGGAGTTCACTGGGGTTTTACACAGGCTGAAATGAAACTTCTGTTTCCCTCAGAACCTATGTGAACCCTCTTCTCTGACAAAACATTCATCTTTTGTCATCCAAACACTTTATGGGCTCACAGTTGATGTTTAAAGGTGTTGGTGTCAATTTTACAGGAAAAGAAGAAAAACTAGTTTTCTTGGGCTTAGAAGATAAGACAGACAAGGCAGTATCAAGGGACAAGAAAAGAGTAAGTCTGAAGTAAAAGTTCACAAATCGCTATTCAGTCTGAACAGTACAAAGATGAGAGAGAAAATTGTCTACAGCCATTTAAAACACACTTTTTGTAATAAAGAAGGGAAAGACATTCAGCAAGTTAAGCTGTCTCTGTGCTTTACTCACATCTGCATTTTTCATAAACCATGAAAACTACAAACTTTTTAACTACAAATTACTTCTCTCACATTAACCAAGTGGTAAAGAACAAGCAATGAAGAACACAGACAGATTTAATTTCTACTGCCAGAATTCCTAACACAGACCTAGATAACACCTTTCCAGTATCAGATAGCTGTCAGAGATCATTTTTATTGAGCAGTATATATCTGAATCCTAATTGTCACATAAGCAACAAAGACTGTTCCTAAAATCAGACATGCAGGCTCTGGCCAGACCTATTACAGAGATTCGCCCAGCTTCTTACCTGTGCCTCTCTAAAAATGTAAGGTCCTAGTTCTTTCCTGCGCTCCAAAATCTTCTTTGCTTGTTCAGGTGGGATGTCAATCTGCAAAGCTGGGGGTATGGCAGAATTAATAAAGCAGTTGATAATAGCTGTGATCTTTTTCTGGACTATGGCATCAGCACAATGAGAATGGCACAAGTCCTGAAAGATGAAAAATAGCATTTTCAGTCAATGGAGAGAGAGACACAAGATCCTTTAGAGAGGCCCAGTGATCAAAAAATAATAGTCAAAAATATAAAAAAAAAATTATACGATAGATTCCTTCAGTATGTAGGACAAAATTCTCATAGCAAATGTGAATGGTCAAAGCCATAGTTAAGACGTGAGTGGGAGTTCTGATTTGCAAATGCAGATGTATAGCAATCATGGCTTTTAAGTTATAATCTCTGCCTGCATGGTCAGATGCATTACTGGCAAATAATAGGCATTTCTGAAAAGAGAAACACACCTACAGGTGTGAAATGCACTGGTTTTCACAATAAGCCTGCTATGACTAGCTTAGCCGTGGTAACCAAAATACAAAGAAATGCTCTAAATGCTCCAGCAAAAGAGGGGAAATATTTAGAGGGCACAAGGAATGTTGGTACAAAGGGGACAGTTTTAGCTACCAGTAAAATCTTCCATTTATTGAAATCTTCTAGTTTCACCACTCATTAGGATTTTCCAGTTTCCCAAAACCCTGGGGTTGGAAATAACTGTGTGCAGAACAGAATACAAAACAGACCTGAACTTACAGGAGTGAGATCACAAAGGAATACTGGGAGTTTTCTACTTTTCTTAAAGTGATCCTACTGTTCTGACGGAACACCTGTTATTACTGTGTTTTGATGCCCTGACAATGCTACCATTGGATTTTGACATGAAGGAAAAATAATTCAAAGAACTTCCTCCAAACACTTTGAAACATGAACTTTCCCTCAATCCATAAACATCAAGAAATTTCTATAATACTAGGAGACTATCACTTATATCTAATAGAGTCACAATGAGTGCTCTAGAGAATGTTCAGGAAGAGAGCCCTCTAAATGAAGAATCTGCTTTAGTTTTGGTATAGGAGTCTAGATATTTACTTTGCAAAGAAATTTAAAACAGGGCTTTTAACCAGAAATGTGGTATGTGAAAGAGCTGGCTTGTTTTATTATGAATACTTTTCAGTTTTGAAAAGGAAAAAAAGAATGATAACAGCTATAATAAAGAGAGTAAGGCAATACAAAAACATATTAGATATATCCTAAGTATATACTATGGACTCCTTTGTTCATCTAGCATAGAAGAGAAGGCAGAGAGCTGTAGTAAGAGGGAAGACAAACAAGCCATATGATATGAAGAGAGATGAGACTGAGCATAGAGGAACAGATGGAAATGATCCACAGATTTATGTTTCTTCATATTTGTTTAAAAAGAAATCTTGGTTTTGGATTGTCCCAAGATGTGCCGCCAGCCTGATGGGTTATGGGGAGCACTGACTCCTGAAGGGAATTCTGTCTTAACTGATGGCACGATAGGGCTCAGACAATACAAGTATGCACTGTGCAAAGTGCTGCCCACGCCTTTGGCAATATTCCTCCAGTTCAGCCTGACCCACAACAGTCCTACTACTCCAGCCCTTTGCTTCTATAAAGAGCGTCAACTGCCAACCATGACAAATCACACGCACGGAGAAATATGGTCAGATTGTACTTTTTCTTGATAAGAAGACAAATAAAATTAACATAAATGCAGGAGAGGGGTTGGGACAAAAAAACAATGAAGGCTTTCTTCAGAGAGCAGATCTACAGGAAAAAGAGTCTAAACTACACTGCACATTAATTTGCAGAAAGTTTCCATGTCCTCCATAATGTAGTAAAAAAGAGTCACAAATCTGAAAAAAATTCAAATATTTTGGAAAGGATTTATGTCATGCAACACCAGGTGCCTTCATATCAGGTTTTTAATGTAAGGTAGTCACTTTATAACCAAGAGAAAGAAAGGAGCACCCCTAGAGAGCATTTCATCTAGTGATTCCTTACTTGGGGATCAGAGCCTTTGTGAGGAAGAGAGATGGAACCCTGGAAACAGAGGAGCTTCAATTTCTAAAGCAGACTCCAAAATTCAAATTCATAAAATTAAACAGTGAAAATACACCCAAATGCCTGCAAAAGATCTCTAAGTACCACTGCAGCATCAGCTGTGTTTACCTCCTAACTTGTGAGCATGTTAGCTAACCTCTTGCTCCCTGCTTGCCATGTGCACACAAGCTGTGCTCAGGAGCCCAGGAAAGGTTCTGCACTCTGGTAGCACTTTTGCATCAGGAATATCCCAGAGGCAAAAGGAAAGAGGAAAAAGTGAAAGATCTGTGGTGTCCCTGAATTCAATCCAGGGTGCTACTAGGAAGCTGCAGTGTGATTTAAAGGCTCACTCCAGAGGTTTCCCACTGTTTTTCAACCCATACAGCAGCAATTTCACAAAAGTGCATGTATTTGGGAGAGAGATAATCCCTGCTGACCTTCCCCATCACATTTGGCTTTGGTCCCATCCTCAGCTGAAGTCAAATGTGACACTACAAAGGGCAAGGGACTTGGGGTCTGCATTGCACATATAGGCTTTTTGGGTAGATACTATCTTTACATCTATAGATTTGATTGAATTTAAACGTTATCTCTGATTTTTGAGGAATTACCAAATTCAGCAATAATCCCATTATTTAACTGTATGCAGCTATAAAGACAGAATGAACATTTTAACACTTGCATATTTTCTACTGCTCAACAGATGTATACCAAACTCTGGGCATTAGCTAGTCGGTAGTGTCCCTTTAGGGACTCAGAAGAATGTTACAGTTTGAAGAAGCATAATGAAATATAGGGATTATACATTTGAGTCAAACATAGCTACCCTTAAGAAGTGAGGGTTTTCTTCAAAAAAAAACCTGGTTTAAACCGTGAAAGAGGTTTTACTATGAACAACAGAATGAATGCCTGTAGACATTCTTGTTAAAATTCTCCTAATATGCAGGAATGGATGCATTTGCTTACAAACTGATTGCTATTTCCCCGGCTCCATTCTACCACCGTACCTTATACTTTTGCACTTCTTGCCAAAAGAGCACTCCATTCCCCAGCAGGTCTCCTTGCAGTGACACAAAGCGTTGAAACAGATTTGCTGTCACCGGATCCAACAGTGCTTTGCGGAAAGCAATTATTTCACTAGATGAAGAAACACACTTATTGTCCATGTGCTGTCAAAAAAAAGAAATAAATGCACCAAATAAACTTTGTTTCAAAAAGCAATAACAAAGCCATTAGTTAGCGTAAACTGTCTGATTCTTATCTTTCCACTGACCCTAACTTTCAGTAGTTTATGACTTTATGACATGGATACAATAAAATGTGGCAAGGTTTCATTTCTTTTTTTCCTTCATTTTTCTTTTTTTTTTTTCAGTTTGGTTTAGGGAACATTTTTTGGAAGACATGATGGGAGAGGAAATGACTGACAATGATTTAGACCATATGACTACATACTATAAAATATGGAAACAGCTATTGTTATTGATTATGGCAAGAGGCTACTTTTCTAGAGAACAGTTTGAGTTTTGTGCAAACAAACAACAAAGAAAAAGGAACAGACAAACCACATAGCTTAAAGTTGTAAAATGCTTCTGACAGGGATCTCACCAACAAAATGAGCTTTGAAATGTGTTGCCATGATCACCAGCAGAAGCCAGAGAGTTTGCCCTCTATGGAATAAAGCTACCAATAGTAAAACAGAATTTAGAGTCATCAAGACATTTTGGAAATCCTCATGCTGCCAAGCACAAAACAGTAGGCAGCCAGGAAAGGGTGGAGAAAGAAAGATGGCTTATGCAGAGACAGTTTGTTTGAAATGAAGTTCATGCTGGCCTGTCTTCCTGAACAAACAGTTCTTGTACTGTTGCTGAGGAGCAAGCCAAACAACCCCCTTTTGTTATCAGATGGATGAATGAAAACCATCTTTTAACAGTGGTTTAAACCTCTTGAAGTCCTGGAGGGATGGAGTACTCTTCAATGGTCAGCATGGGACAAAAACATTTTTAATTGTTGCCAACAGTCCTGGAAATCTAACCTGATCCTAAGCTGAAAGAGTTTCTGCAGCTGCTCTTAAAGAGGGGTTATGCTTAGTGTCCTGCCGCAGAGCCTGCTGGGGTGAGAGCCTACCTTGTGAGAGGGAGGGTGGTGGCTGTCCAGAGTGTCCTTTGGTTAAAATAAAGTAAGCTCAACTTAGGCAGTAGAGTGGGATCTTCTCAGCCCTTGTCTGATTCTCCTACTACGTTCTATCCCCTGTGACCAGGAGTTAGACAACTTTTGGGAAAAATTATTTCTGGGTCATATTCATGAAAGGAAGAACAAAACATTGCTTCCTTCCCTATACCAATATACAAACTGCTTATTTTATGGGTCAACAACCTTGAAGCAGAACATGGAAAATAACCATCTTCCTGACAAACAGACAAAGGGAAAACTCAGTTAACAGAACCCATATGCACTTTGGATCCCTTTTGTGCTGATGGTTTGCATGGATAATTGGTGACCGGGTCTCCAGTTTGATTTCAACAGACAATAAAAGTTCAACTGAACAAATGTACACAACTTGTATGTTGGCAATCACAAAAAGTTCACTGCTCTTCAAGAGGAAAAAACTGGCAAACATCTGATGAAATGTATTATTACAAAGGTTTAAGAAGTTTAAATTTGATATTATCTCAGTGCTGTGAGATTAAAATACAATTCTAAATGAAACAGATACTGTGAGATATGATTAAACCTGCCCACTCCACTGCATACTTCACATTCCCTTTTGTGTCTGCACGTAATCCACTTGCAATAATAAATAAACTACCAGATGCTGGAATGAACAGCTTGTCCCAATAAGTCCACTGCATGCAAAATACAGATAAATGTGAACTAAAGGTACAATATCAGTTTGAGGAGGGTTAAGAGTGCTCCAAAGCCCAAGACAAGAGACATGTTTTTATCAAGTATGACCTCTCCAGCCAGGAAGGGAGTGAAATTTACCATGAACATCAGCAGGGTGCTAAATTCAGGAGTAATATGAGTAATCAGTCCACTCTAGCCAATACAATCATGTCTGCTTTTGACAGCATTACATTTGGGCCTCACACTGCCAACAGAGAAATTATGAAGAATGTGCAAGGTCCAAATGAAAAAGACGGTGAAACTGCAGACACAAGAGATATGGTACATTTCACTTGCCTTCCATATCCTGGTTGTCTTCTGCTGGTCTTTGCGTAAAAGATCTTCAGTTATGTCCATTATCTACAGTTGAAAAGTAGATTATAATTAAATTTTTAAACTCTTCTTGTTTCTTGTTCAGCCCTCTAATGATAGAGACCACAGTGGTAGAATAATTTATGTCTTTGTTTGGATTTTATCTCTGAAACTAGTGGACCCACACTGAATGCCAGCCCTTCTTCAGCTATAAACGAGACTGCAAAGTTAGAGAAGACAAGAAGCAATAGCAGTCAAATTATGCACTTCCACTGGTTTACTCTACCCATGAGGGACCACTTATGTTAGTAACAAATTTTGGTGTTGTTTTTTTTTCCCAGTATGAAATGGTTTTAGTTCCTCTGGACAGCTGTATCAGAAATACAGACTTGATCCTGCAACTTCTTTGTAGCAAAAATACACCTCAAATCAAGGGCAGGTTTTCTGAATAAGGACTACATAGCATGCCCACAGTATTTGGTCACTGTGAAATATGAAGCCAAATAGAGAATGTCATCTGGTTTCATTTCTTCTAAAATACTTTCTTCAAAGGACCTTTTCATCCTCCGAATTTGCAATAAGAAAGAGAAAAGAGCAGTAAAACATAAATGGAGTTAGGAAAAGACTAAAAGCTCATTAGAAGTATGTATTTCCTGTAAACTGTTTATTTGAGTTGAATACAACATTTTCTAAGCTACTTGGGCTAATCTGCCTGCCAGCACAGTGCAGCAGGTGCAAGGAGGCCTGAGTTAGCTTCCAGACCTGGAAGCAGCTTAGCCTTATTGCATAGTCTTGTACCAGGACTTGTAAAGGAGGCAGAGTTCAGCTAAAAAGGGCAGAGAAAATTCTAATTTAGTTACATAATCATTAAAATTACAATTTGTCTTATCAGAACCTATACTTTTCACATTCCTTAGTCTTCTGAACCGATGGAAAGGATCCAGTTCATAGCACCTCTGACAACCTTCTTGATGTTACAGAGATGACAGAAAGCAAATTGTATTAAACAATGCAGTTGCATATGTGTCTGCTTGGTGGAACTGTGAAGTTGCCTTCTGCCATGACATTCGCATGTCAGAGCTGTTGTGGAAGTGCAAAAAACTAAGTCTCTTTGCATCTGTCAGCAGCAGGATGATCTCCTTACACAGATCACAGCCACAGAGGCATTCATAAAAGGCAGATTTTCAGACTTTCTAATGAGCCAGCAGGAGTGAAAGGCTCCTCACTCCCAGTTTTCTGGCAACTTTCTGAAGTAACCAATTGGAACAATGCTTATAGCAGTTAACCTCCCCACTAAGCAGAATTTCACAGGTCCTGAAGTAATTTCTACAGGCATTGCAGCTCCAGATGGGAGAATGAAGACAGCATAAGAGAGAGAAAGAATTACAGCACGGGAAGCCCACTCATTTGCTTGTGTTCTGGTGCCCTTGGGCAAATCCTTTACACAAAGCAGCATTTCTTCAGTGCACAACTGTATGGCTAGGGCAAAATGGCATATGGAGAGTGTAGCACTACAGCAAAGATTAGTTGACTCTCCTGGCAGCCTGCCTGGCAGCAGAGCTAATACCTGCTCCTTCAGATTTAGGATCTAACAATAATACTGTCAGCTAAACTAAGCCTTCAGAGCAACTGCCTTCACAATTATCAAGCTGAATGTTTCAACCTGTACATGCTACAGCACCTCTTTCAGTGTAAACTGAGAGTTGTGGGCTGCTTTTCCTCTGAACCTTTGTATCCCAATGGTAAATTATGAGCCAAACAAAAAACAATGCCTGGATGTGTTGCTGTTGTTAAAAAATTACCTTTGCTTGTCCCTCCACCCCACGGTGTTCATCTGCCAGGAACAATGGCAGCCATTGTTTTTCTAATCTCTTCTGGACGCACTGCTGAACTTCTAGCAGAACTGCTGCCGAAAGTTGATCATGAAGGATTTGTCTTCTTCCTCCACCTGAATGCATTAGCTAAGCAATCCAAACACAATAACACATGACATAAACTTTTGTGTATACCAAAAGTCCTTTATCTCTCCACATCCTTGATTTAGCAAAGCATGAGCTTAATTGTAAGCAAAGCATTTAATGCATGCTTACCCAAGGCTCACATGTACTTTTCATAAAAGGGAACAGATTACATTTGTCCCTATCTATAATAGGACACAGACTCTGGGAAATAATACCCCAGCTTGACCAAGTAAATTGCCTAAGTATCAAGATATATCAGAGTACCACAGCTCAGACTTACTGTCTGTGGCTTTACTGACATACCAAACACAAAGCTGGAACAAGTCACTGTGCCTGAAAGCCATTTTTACACTTTTTCTGAGCTGTGTTGTGCATGCTCTGGCTGTGGCCTCAGATCAGGGTTTAAGAGAGATGTTCTATAAGGAGCAGGGAGGAAGAATTCAAACAGGAAGGAAGGGACCCCCATAGCCAGAACAGAACTAGACTTCTGGCCAAAAATATAGGTAAGATTTGAGGAGATAGCATGGGGAAAAGCTGAATCAAACCCTCTTGTGGACTTTTATCTCAGTGACATTCAGTGTGATTGTTCTTTATAAATGGTTTTGTAACTGGTACCTTTTCTTGTTGCTCTCTGGTAGCTGGGCTGTTGGGTCCAAAGAAGTACTCGTCATTAAAGTACTTGCTTTCAATGTCCTTAGACTTTTCTTCACTTTTTTCTTTATCCTTGTGGAGCATCTTTCTGAACTCTTCAATATCAAGCCAACACATGAGATCCATGCTACAAACAAATTTACAGAATGTTATTTCAGTATTGAGTAAATATCATCAACATTCTAGGGAGTTATTTGTTTAACCACAAGCCACCAAAGTAATCAAGACCTAAATACCAGGTCAGATTGGGCTGAAATTTTATGTCATTTTTTCTTTGCTAAGTACCATCTGGTGAGACCATGGCATTTGCTGAACAGGCAGACCAAACATACATCTTGGGGATCTCATTTAGGGTCATTTTTCGGGTACCCCAAAAGGAGTACCCTCCTCAATATGCCACTGCTAAATCCAGCAGGAACTGTGAACCAGAGCCATAATGTAGAGCTCACAGAGAGAACGAAAAATTAAACAGATGAGAATTTGAATCACTACTGAGGCTGTGAGCCACTGAAAGACAAGTTGACGCCTCCTGTTCTGCCCCCTTGTCATATTGCCTGAGAAAGGAGCATGGATGACACTTGGGAACATCAGCCCCAAAAATCACTCCCTTCCTACTCCGTGTGAAATGCTAGAGTTTAAGTCAGTCTGCAGTCAAGCAGACAAAACCAATTTATGATAAAATTTGTTTCTAGAGCTTTTTGTGGGATGCTTTTTCATAAATTACTGATTCTACTACTTATTTAATTATTCATAGTCAGTGACAATCTCTATCTGCAATCCTCAATCTATATATTTTTCATAACATTTCAGTGTACACTATAAATTGAAGTTTGTTTTCATAGAATGGTTTTGTTCTTTAAATCAGAGGACAGAATAACTGACATACCTACAATTTCAGTTTAATTTATATAACTGTTTTCTGATGGTATCATCGTAGCTGAAGTTTTGTGAGCATTTTAATTAGGACATTCACTGTATTTGAAGCAGGAAATATGAAACATTAAATTCAGGCAAATCTGTTTCACTTTTCCATTCAGCTAATAACTGGTTTTTTCAAAGTATTAATCTATGAGTAAAACTTTCAAAAGCATTTGACTGATTTAAGAACAGATGTTCTCCTTTCAGAAATCTTTTGAGACCCTTACAGCCCTAAGTTCTATTGAAATTCCTTCATTTGCTAGTTCATCACAACATGAATAAGTTTACTCAAATGCAAGTGCTCCAAGTTACTGTGGTTTATGGAGTAACTCCTTGGCATCTACCTATGACAACTGATCAAATATGTGCATCTTATTTTAAAAGTACAATATATCATTTTAAAGTGTGTTAGTTAAACCATATACAGTGGTGGCTTATCCTGACTTACTGCACTTTTCTCTTTCAACAGATCAGGAGCACAGGCATAATCAGTTAGTCTGGCGAGACTAACAAATGGTAACCCACTAACTCAAAGTAACACAAACTGTCCTGCAATTGTGTGAATATATTCTATATATTTAATGAAATATTAATTAATGAAACTTCTTTTAGTTTCTTACCAGAATTTGTGCACAGCTACTTAGAAGCCTGTCCTTCCTAAAACTTGGATCACTTATAGTTGAAAAAATCAGAACCATAAATTTTGATGAAAAGGTAAATGGCACATTTGTTGTTTTTTTCTGAAAATTTCCAGACTGCATTAGTTCTAGGATCCCTTCAGCTTATAGTACCATTAAGCATCTTTACTATGGTGTGCCCACTGGACTATAGAGTTACTACATCTGAATCCAGCTCTAAAACACTTTTGTGAGACTTTTTCAAATGTTTTTCTTCATTATGAATTTTTACGAAAGAAAATTTCTCCATAAATTTAATATTTTTCTGCCTGGCTCTAACACTTAAGAAGGGACTTGTCTGTGATCAACAGAGAGGCAGGAAATCCCTGAGGAAATTCAGTGTCCCTGTCCAGGACCTCATCCTAGCCAGTGACCTGTTATCTGGTGATTCCTACCATTTCCCATGTTAGAGAGTATCTCAAGACCAGTAGTTTCCACAGTGGGGTGTGTGCAGCCAGGAGGTGTTCGATCATTTGTTAAGGGGTAGGAAGAAAAGATTATAACTTCAGTAGCACATGTGTATAATGTATAAAAAATTAAATATACATATATTGAGGGTCCATGTTCAAAAATTTTTTACTGATGAGTTGCATGATCAAAAAAGTTTTGAGACAACTGCTCTAGACAACTAACTCAGAAGTGACTTGACTGCAGGCACCCACAGCATGAGAATATCGATTACCTGCAGTCCTTTTGTAGTCAGTGAGAAGAAATAGCCATCTTAGGAATGATCCATCCAAACTGGTTTTAGATGTCACCTTCAGAATTAGAAGAAATGTGTCCAGAAGTGGGTATTTCTCTCTCTGACTACAAAGGGAACCTTCTGATGATAAGCAGAAGTGATGACATTGAGTCTTGGCCAGGGGACTTCTGTGCCAGATGCCCATCTCTGGACACTTTTGAAAAAGCTGACCAATATCCAATCTAAAATTATAGCAGTGCTTGACTAGAAGCACTAGGCAATATGCAAAGCATCAGCTCATGGGAACTTAGGTTAAAGGAAGGAAATGATAATTTAAGGACAAAAAAAGAAAAAAACAAAAACAAATGGGCTCATTTTTTCAAAAAACCTGCCCAAACTGTATCTGCTACAGGCTGGTACTTAAATCTGTTCAGCAAACACAAAACTGTGGTTGTTCTCACACTGTGAGAATAATGTGTCTTCTACTATTTGTACATTATTATAATACCCAGGTTTAATTTTAAAAATGTAATAAATTGAATCTGCACCAAAAACTATAAATTTTTACTCATTAAAGGCTAATTGCTCTGCTCAGGGGTTTGCCACTAATCAAAGCAGAAACAGAAAGCAAAAGTGTAATACAAACATGATATGACAAGATAATTTTTACCCCAAAATGTTAAGACAATTCAGTTGTCCGAACAATGTGCATGTGTATTTCCTAAATATGCAAATGCATTTTTAAAAAACACTAAAATCTGTGAACATTTAGATAGCAAAGATCCCCAGCAAAGATTTCTTCTGAACTTAGAAATGGTAAAATAATAATAATAATAATAATAATAATAATAATAATAATAATAATAATAATAATAATAATAATAATGATAATAATGATGATGAAAGAACATACCCAGCAGAATGCTCATTAAGAAAAGCCCAGAACTGGTTTAACTTCTCTTTGTTGTGGATCAGGTCAGACAGATTAGGACCTGCCAATCCTTTGGGAATTTGACGGAAGTATTGATCATCAGGGAAGGATGGCAGACCAGTGTCAGCAACAGTACTCTGAGGGAAGAAATTTTTCTGTTTGCATAACTGCTTTTTTCATCTCCATATTTTGCTCAGTCTAATAATCCTTGCATTAGATAACCTGTCTCTGTAAAATAGCTTTTTGGTTGCTGAGGAAATAAATTGAGTTAAGGCTCCAGCGCCTAGTCAGCTTTACTTTTATGTTTGCTTTAAACATACAAGTGTGTGCCAGTTCCATAATCAAATAAACCAATATATATCTGTAATTTACTTGAAACTGAGGTATTTACTCAAGATTAAGGGCCCAAAATATATTCCACAGACTTTAGTGGAAACTGTCTCATTGACTCCAATCATACGGTGGTCTGATGTTGATATAACTGACAGAAGACCCCTATATCTAATTAACACAGTGCCTGTCAATCAGTCCCCAAAATGAATGGTAGAAATCAGACTATTTGCTTCTCCAAACTGGCATATGGTCATGCTTTCATTGCTAATACTCAAAGTGTTAACCCTCCCTGATAGAAAAAGGGGTTGTTTCTCTTAGTAGGTACTTGTCTTACCTCATCCTTCTTGGAACCACTCACTTGATGCAAAGCCTGGAGCTTTCTAAAGCACACAGAGTCCAGCTGTTGAGTTTCTTCCACCAACTCCACCTAATAAAAATAATATCTTATATCATCCCTGCAGTACACATTATAGAAAGATGGAGAACTGTGTGGGCACTTTGCCAGTGACAGTGGATAGAAAAGAATATGTTTGCTAGTAATGAGACTGATGTTTAGAAGACACTAGAAGTCACATTTTTCTGACAAACAATTCTATTAAAAGCTCTGGTAGAACAAAATTTTCCTATCTTTGTAGGATCAGATGTAGATTTCTGCAAAAAATCACTGAATAATCTAACTATATATTTAAGAGAAGAACTTTGTATTAAAAAAATTGCTAAATTATATTGTCTATATAATACATTCTGTATATTATATATATAAATATTATATTGTGTCAGACTTACTTGATTGTCTATACCAGCAAATCATATGTCAAAGTGCCACTGAGAAGCAGAAAATCGGTTCTTAAAACTATGACTGTCAATGGAAAATGTCAAAGAGACAGAGTGCCACAGATTTCCAGAAAAAGAAATTTAAGATGAGAAAGATGTTCTAATATCTAAACAATAAAGGTGAAAGCTTTCAGACTTTCAGTCTTGTCTCCTTCCTTAGTTTTATACCAGGTAATGCCTTAAGTAATAAATTGTGCATAATTTGAACTCATGAAGTATTGGCATTTTTGAACTTAATTACAAGCCTTATGTATATAACTACAGCAGTTCTCCATGTTATGTGCAAACAATCGGTAACTGCACAAGGGATAGTTTGGTGACCTCTCAGCTGACTAAACCATTCAAATTCAGATTTTAGGATATTTAGCAAAATTGAGCCAATGCCTTATACTGATTAGCATGCCTCTTACAAAGATTAGAAAGCTGTTGTTGTCTTATACAAGAGTTTATGTGCGAGAGAGAAGAGTTTAGATTATATTCATCACATTTTCATCTAAATGTGAATACCACACTAATCACTGTGTTATCTAAATGTCTTCAGGCTCAGTGTAATTCTGTTCCACTGCTTATAAAGTGCTCTGGGGTATTCATTCCCTTAAAAGAAAACATAGTTTAAAAGTAAATAGTACAATAACTCAGAACATTTAAAGAAAAAATGTAAATATGTATACTGACCATGTCCCAAATAAGCAAATTTGGACTCACCTAATTCTTGACAAAGTATCTTGTTTCATTATGGGCCAAATATATCCTGCTATAGGGTAGAACAAAGGGGAAGAGTAGAGCCAGGGACTGAACAAAATACAAAGCAGACCTTGTCTAGGAAGGAGTGTGCCTAAGTATCAGCCTGCGCCTAGTACAAAGAGACTCTAGTGCCTCCTAGAACAGGTCGTTTTACGTCTGTGTATTATAACTCTTCACAAACGCATGTATTGTACAGTCAAAAGTACTTAGTTCTGGGTTTTTGTGCCCTTATTAAGATGTTTGTGTTATTAGAGCTCTAAGAAGTCTGCACGTAACTACATTTGCAAAGCAACGCATCCTCGGTTAACTCCAGAATACATAAACTGACACAGATATTAACTTTAAAGGAAAAGTATATATTTTCAATTCTTACTTCAGAGGAATCCTTCCACCTCTAGAAGCAGTGACAATTCTGTATTCAGAGAGCTCAAAAGCAGACTTCTTTCATACAAAAATTATGTATAACAATACTTGGCTGAACTGATGATTTGACTCGGTGAGAACCAGCAGTAGATACTAGACAACTAGTATTGGTAATACACATGGAAAATATACAGTTACAAAAGACTAAAACTAGTCTGATAGAAAGTAAATAAAATTTCACATTCACAGAAGTAGCAATCAATTACACAGTGCTTTGCAGGTCATAAAGAATAATAGCTGAAATAGCTTAGAAAAAATAATTTATCTGAAAAGTTAGAAAATATGCTGAAAAGTGAAGAAAATATTTTGCAGATTGGATTAGTACATTTCGTTTTAGTAAGTTTTATCAGTGTTCAAACTTTCAAAGTTTCTAAAGGAAATTATGTTATCACAGGATGAGAAGTAAAGTCCCCTTGTGAATTAATTAGAAGGTAGAAAATCAAAACCAAAGAAATAAATAACTTTCATTATAGGGTGGGGTTCTTATTAGAGTCTCACAGGGATCTGCACGGAGGTTGTTTTTTTAAACATTCAGAAACTATCTGGAAAAGGAGGTGAGTGAGGAGACAATAAAGTTTGCAAAATGATTTCACAGAGCAAAAAAATTAAATGGACTGTGAAAAGCTGCAGGATTTCAGGACACTTTAGCATCTGCATGATAAAAGGACAGCTGAATTCAATGATAATAAACATTAAGTCATTCCAATGAGCTCCAAATGAGGGCTTTCCATTAGTTGTTATTACTTGGGAAGGAGATCTTGGAATCACCACAGATGGCTATTAGCTTACATTTTGCACAGCCACTCAAAGTTCACCAGGAGTCAAAATGCAATTAGAATGATAGGAACAATTAGGAAGAGAACAAAGAGAAAAACAGAAAACATGATTCTGCCACTGGATAATCCTTAGTGCATCCAGACCTTGAGTACTGCTTGCATCTCATCAAAAGAATGTAAAATAACACAAAGATGAGGTGATAACTGTAACAAAGGTATGGAACTTCTGTAAGAGAAGAAGTCTAACAGTTTAGGACTCTTGAGTTTCAAGGAGGTGTAACTGAAGTGGGGTACAACAGAAACTTGTAAAAGCATAACAACATTGAGAATATGACAAGATAACAATTGTTCACTTGTTCCTCACGACATATAAAACTAGGGCACCAGGGGAAATTACCAGGGAGGGGTTTGCAAACAAATTAAGATAAGGACTTTTTTCTCCTATTGCGTGACTAAAACATGGAACCTACTTCTACAGTGAGGCTGAAGATATATCACTCAAGACACATTTACATAAACTCATGTGCAAAAAAACCCTTATTAAAGATTATTAGACACAAAAATGTGGATAAGATCTCTGCTCCATGAACTTCCTTGGTTGCAAAGTGATGAAGCTGGCATAACTGCTATGTGGTTTTTTTTCTTTTCTTATACTCCATTCTTAAATGTTTAATACTAGCCATCACCTAATAGGCTTAGAAAACCATTATCAACCTTGATTTTAGGTATCTGTTCACCTAGTTGTTCATACATGCATGCATGATATAGCACCAAAAATAGGATTTCAAAACGTTTTGCACAAGGCAATGCAGGCATGTTCTCATTACAAGTTGACAGAAGTATCAGTAATAAATGATGATATTTCCTATAAATTGGAGATGCTACATCTAAGGTCATAGTGGAGAAAAACAGGAACAAGAACTAACTTCCTGCCCTCCAATTCCTGATTCCTCATTATAAGTTTCTCCTTCCATATCCAAGAGAGATGTTAAAGACTTGAAATTAGAATCACAGAATCACAGAATATCCTGAGCTGCAAGGGCCTGAAAAGGATTATCGAAGCCCAACTCCTGGTCCTGCACAGGTCCACCCCAATGGTCACACCACGTTCATAAGAGTGTTGTCCAAATGCTTCTTGAACTCTGGCAGGGTGGGGCCATGACCACTTCCCTGGAGAGCCTGTTCCAGTGCCAATGACCTTCTGGGTGAAGAACCTTCTCCTAATATCTAACCTAAATCTCCCCTGACACTCCCTTCCATGCTGTTCCCTCAGATCCTGTCACTAATCACCAGAGAGATGGTATCAGTGCCTGCCCCTCTGCCTCCCCTTTTGAGGAATTTGTAGACCATGATGAGGTCTCCCCCCAATCTGTTCTTCTCCAGGCTGAACAAGTGACCTCAGCTGCTCTTCATAAGGTTTCCCCTCTAGGCTGTTCACCATTTTCTTAGCCCTCCTTTGAATACTTTCTAATAGCTTTATATCTTTCCTATATTGTGACGCCCAAAAGAAGTTTGACCTACAGCTGGCAACTTGTAGGTAAGTTTACAAAGAACAGAAAGCCACAGCATCGACCACTGTCACCACCATTTCTTGTTTTTATCTGTCAAAGGAAGTCAGGATTGCAGCCACCTCTTCTGACCTGCATAAGCTTGCTCAATTCAAGCCTTCAGAGCTTTCTGGAATTAGAACTGAGTACACCTCTGAGCCACCTACTTCAGGAGGCCTGCAAAGCACACTTAGCCCTTACACAGCAGAGCAGTGATCTAAAAAATATTTGGGGCAAATACAACTGGATCACCATATCACATCTTCTTATGCTAAGCAGTAGCTGCACTTACATTCTAAACACCAAGAAGTACTTGATGCCATTCTTGATACAATTAATATGGACCTAGTATCACTGCACTGACACTGTAGAAACACAGCTTATTGTGTGCTTACGATTAAAACATAGAGCATCTGTGGGCAATCATCATAAGAAAATTACTTCTGATCAATGGTAAGATTACAGAAACATGATGTTTGCTGAGTGCAAAGAGAAATTTTTCCATAGCAAGATGCATTCCTCTCTAATTCACAGGCAAGGAGTCTATGAAGTCCACAAGAAGCTCAGCCTACACCACATATCAACATAGAAAGGAGTGGCTAAGCAAAACATCTTGTAATACTTCTCCCTTCCTAACTATAAATATAACAGGATTGCATATGAAGGTTCTTGTGATTTTATTCCCTGGCATAAGACTTTTTCATGGTGTCATCCAGATCTGTTACCTTTCCATAAGTATATTTATCTGCTTCCACCATCTTCATCCATGGTTCTAGGAGAATAGTGAGAATATATTCTTCTGCTGGGTCAAAAAGGTCCTCAAAAGCTGGGTCCATTTTCTGATAAATCATGTTTCTCTTATTCTGATGAAGTCCAATGTCCATACTGGCAGATGGGGCAATGTAAGTTGCATAAAGGAACTAAAATAAAAGAGAGGAAAACTGCTTCTTAGCCATCATTCATTTCAATGGTCACACACTGCTGAAGGAGAAATTAATGCATATTTGTCCCCCACTGCCCTGCTGTATATTCTGAATATATATCTAATTACAACTACCTTACTTTTTACCAGTATTACTACTTTGTCCAAAATTCAGTTATTGCCATAACGGATCCCCCTGCCACTTTTACTCCTACTTGTTAAAATGGTTATATCAAAAAATAATGTTTAACACAATTTTCTCTTGGAGATTTCTGGTTGATTCTTAGATTCAGATAGCTACAATTGTTACAGCAACTGTGCTGCTCATGAAGTCACGTTGTTTTGCAGAATATGTGCTAGGCCAACTAGTGAAGGTATCTGACTTTTCTGAATAGATAGTAATTTGTAAACTTAAGGTTAAAATTAATGAAAAGCTACATGATATTCTGTGTGAAGATTCTCTTATATAGTTTTTTGATATTGGTGAGACTCCATCACAGTACAGGGTCCATGCAGGAGATTCCACTGCACAACTGAGGTCTAAATCCTTACCAAAGAAAGGTTTACAACATGCTTTTTATCTGACGCATACAGAGTTTGCCATTCCACATGCCATGACATGACATGATGATGACTCTTTAAGCATAGAGGAATGTTTTATTTATTTCAATTTTTTTTTCAAACTTACTTAATCCCCTAAGTAAAATTCTTGTTTTCTAAAGGTTTCATGAATGTGAAAATGAACATTGAAAACTCTGAGAAAAACGCTTTCTTCCAGAAATATCTTGGAAGAGGATATTCCAGAATATCTTTATAAAACATCATGGGTCTGACTGCAGCTAGGAACTCAACTGAAATAAAGATGCTGCCATAATATATTTCATATAAGTATTTTCTCTTCTTCATATTCTCAAAGTCCAACTCATTTTCAAACATACAGTCAGGGATCAGGTTAGTAGCGTAAATCAAAATTTCTCCCTAGGATGGCAGTGACAAGTCCATCTTTACTATTTATTATCACAGAGGCTTGGCAACGAAGAATTCAGGAATATAACAATTCTCGTTTTCCTCATTTTGCAAAAAGCCAGCTGTAACTAGCAGATGTACAAAGCAATAGAAAAGAAGAAAATAAGACATTTACTCTGTGTTCAAGCAGTAATAAAACACTGGTGTGCTTAGATTTCAAACACAGGGGGAGAATTTTGAGTACATTAAATAACTATGTTTCTGTTTGTTTTAAATTAAATTCTGATTTATTAGACTCTTTCTCTCAAATAGCAACAGCACTAGTGTGCATCCCCATTATTTTGGACCTTTACAATTTGAAACAAACCCTTTAGATTCCCCTGATATTAGGTCACTGAGAAATACAGGGCTTCGATGGCTGACATCCATCCCTCAGTTAGCACTTGTTACAATTACCATATTTATTGTCTATGCAGGATTCCAGACCCTTTCTACATAGATCTAATCACTGAAAACAAAGATGTTTTGTGGCTATTGTGGCCCACATTATCAGTGCAATAAAGATACACAAGTGTAAGGGTAAGGTCAGAGAAAGAGCACATCCACAGGAAGACTCCTAGCTGAAGACAAAGACCACATTTATCCTAAATTATGCCCTTCTCAGTAAGTCCCCAAATACATTTAAATTTAACAGAGACAGCATTAATTACATTCACAGCAATTTAAAAAGTTGGAAGCTATTTCGAAGAGCCCTAACACTAGTAAAGTTAAATCATGTTGTAGTCTGATCAAAACCAGTTAGTGTATAAAATAGACAAATTAGAAGGGACAAGTCCAATGATATAAAGATGTGGTATCTTTAAAAATAGACCTTTTAAAGAGGGGTTAACCATTTTGTTTGTCATTAGGACTACACTGCTCCACCTGTTATGTCTCATAAAATTGCACAAGGGATCTGTAAATTGGTAAAAAGGTTCAAAAATATGTCCTCAATATTTTAACACACATCTAACTTGGTTCCTTAACTGGGTGATCATTTTTGCATAATTTTAAGAATGAAGTTAAAACAAACATGCCACAAGTTCCTCAGGCAGAATTCCTTTGCCCTATGATTTTGTATGAAATAGGTTAATGAGTATATTTGTTAGTCTTCTTCAGAGCTGACAAAAAAATATCAGCCTGCAATCAGAAATTGCCCAGACTAAGGAAGCTTTGGCCAAAAACTATTGACATAAACACTGTCATAATATACTGCCATTCTAGGGACTGCCTTTGCACACTGCTCTACCTGCAGAACTGCCCCCAGTCCTGTGTAATTTCACATTCAGAACCACAGCATAGTAGAGACAGATATTTTTTTCCAGAAACAATAGGGCAGGCAATACATATGAAGCAGAAATTTAGAGGTGGTTAACTATAGGAATGCACTTTTCCAACTCAGAGAATCAGGCTCTCAGTGGTGTAATAAGGATGGCCTCTTCACTTTGAAGGATGCCATCTCTTTATTTGAATTCTTGTAAGAATCCATAGCTATGGGATTTGACCTAGTAAAAAGATAGCATCACAAAGTGACAAAGTGAATGCATGCACTTGCAGATAAGGGAGAAATGAGAAGGAGCTTTCATCCTCGTGTCCCTTGCTGAAGTGCATCTGTAGATCTGCACAGATTTGATTGCAAGGACTGCAGGAAAACCAACTGAGGAGAGTTCTAGACATGCCAAAAAAAATGAAAAATTGTCTGTGTTCACAGCCTTCAACACTGGGCAATGCAATTTGCAAGATACATTTTATCCTTTAAAAAGTAATATTCATAGCCTTTTTTGATTCCCACATCATGGAATTCTTGTGATTTTCTGAATCTCAGTAGAATATTGGAACTATTGTATTAGCCAATCTCCTAAGGGATTAACAGGAAAAATCACATTAAATGAACTTATAGGTTAACACATTCATACAAAAATTTGAAGCATTTGATGTCAAGTACATATCATACTTTGTTGATTATTTGCTTTGTTCCTATTGAAAAACATGAAGAATTGTTCTACTTGCCAGCCATAAATTTTCCTATAAATGTATTAGAATAAGTGATGGATTGAACCCAAAACTGTATCTGGAAATTTGGTCAGTTTGTATATTGAAATTACTTAAAATGGCACAAACCTGAATACATGAAATGCTTAGAAAATTTAGATTAAGACTTTGGCCTCATTTATGACTTTCGAAATCAGGGATCGTACAGGCTTTGGTGTGAAGCAAGAAAGATTTAAAAGTGCTTTGTATTGCTGCCCAGAGGCATGGATATTGCTCTGATCTAAAAGAGGGGCTTGTGTAGCTGCTTGACAGAATCATATGATGGAAGAATGCAATGCACTGACTGGTCTTAAACAAAGAGGTTAAACTGCCTTAACCTCCATCATCACTTCCCACTAATATAAATCCTGTGTCTGACCCTAAAAGCTCACAGCAATAATAACCACCTTTATCTAAACTGATTCTACTGTTAAAATATCGGACTTCTCACAACTGTATTAAATTTTCCTACCCTAAATAACTCCTTTTAAAATCAAAACCTGTGTTATGTGGGGGTTTATTGCTTTTATTTTTAATTTTTTTTTACACTCCTGTGCATGTTTATAGTGAAAAACCATATATGTTCCTGGATGATTCCCGTCATTACTTGTCATTATTCTCATCCATCAGATTTCATTCTCACTGTAGTTTCTTTCCCTGGCTGAATGCATATACACCTTGGAATGCATTTTATTACTCTGTCATAAAGCTAAGATAACAATGCCCAACAAACGAAACTATGAGTAGTAGATACACAGCAATCCAGGTTTGTCCTTGTTTCTATGAGGAAGCAGGCAGAATCCATACGGAATACTCTGCACGTCTCTTTCTGTAATAAATAGTAAAATATATATGACAATGTGTCACGCAAATCTGATCCACATTCTCTTAGGAGTATTTGGAATGACTTTGTTGTGCCAAAGGTGAGCGCAGAATTTGGGAAGGCATCTCTTCCCCAAGCAGACCCTGTAGATTGGTTGCAGCTTGACTCTTTACCGTGTTCCAACAAAAACAAGTATAATTTTTCTGCAGCCTTAAAAGGCAAACTTGAGAATGATACCAAATGTTGCAGCACATGTGTTGATTTGTTATGTTACATTTCAGCTGTTAGTTATGCTAATGGAACAGTTTCACATATTTCGTTTTGATGTATTTACTCTAATGGCTATGCGTACGCACTCTCTGCAATTGCCTGGTAACACTGATTGTACAATGTTTTGCTGTCACCACCAGGCCAGCACTGGAAATAAGATAAGTAAAAAAATCCTGGGCCTTAATGTTCAGCCATGCAACCACTGCAGAAACAATGATTTGGCCTGCAACAAAATACATAGGAAAATGGTGACAGTCTAGATAACTCGCATGTCTGCTGTGAGCAGGGCCCTCACCACACACACACCTGGGCATATACAGGAGACAGTCAGACTTAAGGGTACATTCAGTTGCCTACAGCCTCATGCCATAAATAGAGCTGGAGGGTAAAACAACTAAATAGGGTAGCAGTTCAGTTTACCCAGACAGGAGAGAAGGAAGAATCTATGTGTCAGCCTCTGCTTGGAGTTTCTGTACAAATAACATTGATTCAGGTGAGAATTCTGGACAAATATGCAAAATTCTGTCATTTGTCCCAGTAAAACCTCCAAAAAGGAAAAGAAAACAAATTCAAGGATGTTCAGATGCTTAGTAACACAAGCCATACCAAAAGATTATTCTCACCTGCTCTCCACAGATATTTGTTCCAATGGCATGTGAAGTAGCTTGCTCTATTACATAGTGTATATTGAAATATTCAGATAGGATATACTCCTACACAAGGTTTAGAGAGGAAAATCAGACCAAAGTTTCACAAAGTGATTTGAAAAGTTCCTTGGAATTCTTCTAATGATATCACACTGCTGCAGGTTCCTTCCCTCACGGAATAGGTCTACTCTCCTGTCAGTAACAGCCATTAACACCACTGTGGTGAAGCAGTTTAATTTTGTTTTATTCCCTGATTTAAAGTGCATGCTCAATTAAGAATACTCATTTATAGGAACTATCAGTTCCACATGACATTAAATAAGGATCTGAATATCTATTTGGGGGATGACAACCGTTAAAAGATAATAATAATACCCTGACAATCATAATAATTAAAACCAGACTGACAAAGATCCATTTTCATTACTGAGGTCATTATCTGAGGTCTCGACTGTGAGATCTGCAATTCTAACCCACATAGGAGATGGAAAGAAAGGTACAGCCCAATTAGATGGTTTAAAAAAATACTACCTCTGATGTTAACACCAAGCAGATAGTTTCCAAATATGATGCAGAGTAGCAAAGGGGAGCTTAGGTAAACTGAGTATAATAGATAAAACTGGGAACAGGTAGCAGAGCCTAGAAGTTAAACTATGCATGTTTAACATTCTAATCAAGAAATTCTATGGACACAATCCAAAGAGCTTCTTTTATTGTCCACAGCCCAGATCTACTTTGGTGTGGGTTGTCAAGATTTGGAAACTTTTCTACTTTCTATCTTCTTTTCAGACTTTGCACTGCACAAATGTATTTGTGAAGGGAATGAGCAAATGTATTTGTGAAATGAAAACACATTATTTACAACTTACTTGAGCTTGCTTGCATATTTGAAAAGGTTGAAGAGTTTCTTGGTAAAAAAGCTGATGATAAGCCTGTAGGTCGAACCAAAAGTACACACAGTTCTTCCACAACTAAAGATGAAAAATATTGTAAGTTATTGCTACCCAAATATCACAGCTTTATAAAAGGTTGACTTTCCAATGCAAGTATTATTTAGCCCCTTGGGGTCATCATAAATCAAGCTCAATTTAAGATGAATTTAATCTTCTGTTGCATACTGGCAGAAGGACAACATATTTAATGATATCATCACTGTGATACTCTTTTATTGTATCCTTTATGCATAATTGGCCATTAAAATCGTTAACATTGTAGTTAACATTTGAAGAGTAACCGCATTTCAGTGGCATAAAGCCAGTGCTAAAGAAGAAATCCTGATAATGGACATGCCGAGTTTGTGCCATGGTAAAATAGCATTTTGCAGCAATAACCAAAACAATTAAATACTGTGTACTTGACATATGTTACTGAGACTATCATTACATTTTTATTACATGCATTTCTGAGACACAGAGTCTTGGCCTCATTTCATAAATTTGAACAGCAAAAGATCTTTCAGAAGTCTAGATCTTTCCCCAAGTCCTCTGTTTTAATCATGTGCTTATAGGGTTCAGCCTTTAAAAATACCCTGAAACCCCCATGGCTAGCCAATAAAGAATGTGTTGCAAACAGACAAGGGTAGGGAAGTTTTCTCCACAAACTGCAGCCTTCCAGACCTAGCATATGGTTGAAATAGGCTCCACAGGTGAAGAGAAAACTTTAAGCAAATAATTTTCAAAGGAGTCTGGCACCTGCAAAGGCTAGAGGATATGAGGGCGGATGCAATGAAAAAGTAAGTTTCTTTTATTTAGATTTCTATCTATACACATTTAACATTTTTAGCTGAAGGTATTCGGCTTTGGAAACATTGGCTCTTGTCTTGTAGTAGCCAAAGGCATTTCTAGCTACTGCTGCTGGATTCTGCGTTGTGCCAGCGGTGAAACAGATGTCCATCTTGATTGCATTCAAATCTCCCCTAAAGACTCAATTTTTCTGCAAAGCCACTAAACACTGACTCAGATGCATCACTCGTTCCAACCAATCCTCAATTTACACCCAGCAATGAATGACGGATCTGCTGACTGCAGAGAAGAAATAGTGTTATGTTTCTCAGAAATCCAAGGAGCTTCATGGAAGCAGAAGAATGTTTTTAAAACATTGGAGATTTTGGACATCACTAACCTAACAAGTAAGAAGGAAGCAGATTATTGTGAGTAATAGCATAGCAGATTTTCCATCTTTTTAAAAAATGTTTTTGTGGGTTAAGACCTCATTTTTTCTGCCAAGTTAAAGGCTAGTTTTTAAAAATTATTAGTCTTTTTTTTTATCCCTGATGGTACAATCAGAATTCCAATAGGTTTGAGACAGTGAGAATCTGACAGCTTGGTTAAGACCTGTCATTAGTTTGCATATACATATGAACAGTTTATTGTTGTTGAGGGATTGAAGTCTCACAAGTAATAATTCATCCAGTCATCAATCTTTCTTTCTCCATTTTTTTTTTCAGTCTGGCTGCCCTCTATAACTTGGCATTCAGTCAATTGTGGACTAAATTATCACAGAGTAGGAAAATGTTCATACCTTATTCCCTGACTTCTCACAGAATTCTGTGAAGTAGTAGCCTGCTCTGTTCTCCAAATAAAGAGACTGCAGCATGCTTTCCATTCTTGATCCCCCTAAGACAACACTGCCAGCAGCACTTTTCCCCTAGACAAATAAAACATAGTTATATAGCAACGAATAACAGGCTTTCATTATTTTCAAATGTCAGTACATTGCAATGGAGAGCCATGCAGTGTGTTCAGTTAGCATCTTCATCCCAAGAAACCAGACTCCATTTTCTACTACATATACAATCTTAGCTGACGAGTTGTCTCAGCTCAGGCTACTGTGTTTTGAATTAAGAGAAGTTAACAGGTGGCTATTTGGTCAAGATTCAAAACATTTAACTATCATGGAACAAAAGATGTCTTCTGGGGTTACATCACTGATATCATCAACAAAATCATGAGCAATTCAGGGAGCAAGAAATCCATGCTCTTTGCTGTGGCAAGCTCCTAGAGCATTTGAGGAAGAAAACATCCATTTTGTCAGTGCTCATAGAGAAGCCAGAAGAGGCTTCTGTAAGTAGTAAATTAGCTTCTGATGATTACAAGAGAGAAACTTTGGCTGACTTGCTGTCTCTGATAGCAGAAGTGGAAACAGATGAGTGTGGTGGCTGGCAACCAGCTTCTTTCAAAACAATAACAGGGATGGAGAAGGGCAGGAAGAAGCCAGACTTTTGAAGGATATTTTGAGGGATATCTACCTATCTGCTTCAAGCAGAGTGGGTAGATATCCCTTTGTGGTATGAAGTTGAACTACTAATCCCTGCATTCCCCTCTGCATTATATTTGTGATGGCAAATTGTGGGGTCCTGAGTGTAAGTTCCAATCTAGCCCTGTAAGTGTAAATGGATGGTATTTTCCTCCCTCTGTGATGATGCCTAAAAACTAATAGTTCATGAAGTAAACATTTCCTGTATATACATTTCTAACTGAAAATGTCCCCTAATTGCAAAGACTAGCCTTTTGTTTCCTGTAAAAATTAACAAAGAAGTAAAATGAATGCAGTGAAGAAATAAGCAAAGTATTATTTTGATGTGTAAAACAAACATTGTGCTCAAGTGCTCAGCAAACTCCATGCATATGTAAATGGGCTCAGATTTCATAATATGTTTTTTCTTTTAATTGTGAAACCGTGGGTATCAATACCACCATGAAATATCAGGTTGTTTTGAGACTGTTCCACAAACAAGAAAGGTTTTGGATATATTTTTGATTGCCAGATGTTGACATCTCACATGTTGTATTTGTCAGCATTTTAACAGTTACTAAGAAAAGGCTCTTCTGCGCAGCCTGTCTCTCCTGAGGTTTGTCTGACTGAGGATCTGCTTAGCAGGCAATAATTCAACAAAGAAAAGAATGATATACATAAGCAATTAGGAGGGACTGTACAAATGAAACGTTTTCCTCTTATGAATGTTACTATTTTAATGACTTTGTAAGGCAGATTCAGTTTTCACTCTAAGTCTGGTATACTTCCTTAGGCAACAATTCCACTGAAGCATTTATCCAGAGTTCTCTAAAACAGCCTACTGAACACATGGTCACTATGGAGAAGATCAACGCTTTCTAGTGAAAACAAACCTCTGTGTGTGCCATGATTTCCTGTGAAATAGGTGACAGATACCACAGAGAAAATGCTGATGTTCTAATTATACTTCTGCATAAAGCACTGACATCCATATAACCAAAACAATTCTTCCCCATTATTGACTACTTCATGTTTAATACTGCAGAATAAACTGTTTTAACTCATGATTCAAGACAACTTATATTTTCAAGTAGTACTCACACGGAGCAACTCAGCATAGGTGTACTTTCTATAACCCTGGTACCTTGAATCTTTGGTGCCATCCAAAGCTAAGCAATGAATCATGTCTGTGCTCACTGACTTTGACCTGGATCACAAACAAAAATTTTTCAATGTATATTGAAGAAAAATCAAGGACTGCTTATAAAATAAACAAATAAGAAGGGGCACAAAAGAGGTAGAATTACACAGTGAATAGCTGAGGAAAAAGTACGTGGAGTTCAAATTTATAATAAATGGGGAAAAAGATGTAGAGGAACACTTTTTCATGTGGCCTTGTGGAAATCACTGGCACAGCATGAATTTGAGAGCTAGGCTAGTCCTTGAAACAGGTTAAAAGAATATGAATGTATGTAGAGACTATCAACTAGTACATAAGAGAAAATACTTGTATTTGGGGAAATAAACCCCTTTGTGGGTTTATTTTTGTTTGTGGCACAAACAAATGAGAAAATAATCAGCCAGGGAGGAATTCTCCATGCATACAGTCTGTACCATAACTGTGCTTCACTAAGCGGATTATTGTATTAAAGAAAAGTACTCATGAAAACAGTAGGATCTAAAATACTTTCATAAATATTTGAGGTATAATGGTGTGCAGAAAGATATACAAGGGACTTGTACTTACCACATTCTACTGCTAGGAATGTCATCCTGTTGGGTACTCTGACTTGATGTCAGGGTAGGTGGTAATCTTGATGATCTCTTCAAAGAGAAATTTGGTTTAGCTAGTTTTAATAAAGTTGTTGGTGAGTTTGTTCTACTTTTCTAAAAGACTTTACAGAAAAATAAGGCAATTTTGATTATTTTTCCAGCTTTATGTTTTCTTAATGTCTTCTCATTAACTGTTCAAAAACATTCAAGGGTTTTCAGGACTGTTTTTCCTTGTCAATCACAATATAGAAAACTTCAAATTGCAAAAATCTCTGAATATCTTTCAAGATTTCTCAGCATAACTTAATAACCACTATAGCTTAAAAATTACATTTTTAACAGGTAGAAATACGTTACATGGACTTTATATAAAATTACAGAGGATGTCAGGTGAAGGGCATGTGAACATGTTTTGTGAAAGTCTACAAAGATTACCTTACCTATTACCTCACTGTAAAATAGAAACAATCACTCAGACTTGGAGAGAAAGGGGGCATTCTGCCACAGCATCACTGATTATTTTGAACAAAATCATGACTTCTTGGAGATGCCAGGTGCATTCAGAGTGCCCTCAGAAATTCACCCTGAGTTGCTGCTCTTTCTAAGCTCTTGCAAGCACAGAGTAACTGCAAGATCCAAAAGTCAAAATTTTTTACAGAAAAAAAAATAGGAGCAAGAAATGGGCCATCTGCTGATTCTGTGAGGTCAGTGGTGTCAGTTTATATTTTTTGTCAAGTGCTGAATTCAACAGGGGATAGAAAACCTGCAGAGTTAGGATCCTGTCTGCCTGACCTACAGCTAGTCCTGGGTCATCAGGACCACCTTGTGAAGCTGGAACTGGTCATTGTAAGACACTGGTGCTTCTTGCTCCCATTCTTGCTGTGAGCAACAGGAATCTAGCTCCTGAACCCAGTTTCTTCTGAACAGTTAATCTGTCACACTGTTTTCCTCCATTATCTCCATGAATTAGATTTCAAAGGAAATAACTGCAGCCTAAAACTATCCAACTCAAAGTAAGAGAGGCGTGTGTGTTAACAGATCTATGGAATAGCCCATTCAGTTCTTGATACTGGAACCACAGTTTCAATTCCCATTTTCCAAGTACCTTGTGTCCCAAGGCTTAACACTGTGTTGCTGAAAACCTTCATTGCAGTTACCTCTCACATTCAGGCTTTCAAGGAAGAAAATATTCAAAACTAAACTGGCCACCTGCAAGCTACACAGTGTGAAAAGCTCTGTGTTGTATGGCTCATGACCCTCTGTGGAAAGCAAAAACCACATGTGGCTCATTGAAGGGCTGTCGTGATAGAAAATGAGCAGAATTCTGCCCTCTTCACAGACATGAAGGATGGATTCAGGGGAACTGCAGTGAAGTTGTACGAATGACTCCGGATTAAGATAAGCCTGGTTCAAGGGCAGAATCTGCACTGGTAGATACTTAATTTTTCAATTCTGAGAATTTTCAGCTAAAATATCTATCCAAAGGACTTATGAAATAGCCAGGATGTAACTGAGAAGATAAGGTGACTCCATGTATGGGAATTTGTTGCATAACACATACTAAAATGTTATTGCATTTTTATATGTAATGATCTCCAATATACCAGCTTGCTAAATCTTGACTTCCTAACAACCAAGTACCATATTCTTCTTCCATTGAATTTAAGGAGTTTTGTCATTATTTTTAATGGATAAAGCTTTGTTTTTCAATGTTGTGATCCTACTTACCTGAAGAAGGGAAGGTTGTATCCCAGGTATGCAAGACTTTTGGGTCAACGGTAACAATGACACTATTTGTGGGAAAGGATCAATGTCCACTCTCGGTCTCTCTTGACATGTGTGCCAGAACTTCAGTTTTGCACTGGCAGCCTCTATTGCTCTTGAATGAGTGACACAAAATCTGGGGCCCCTAGGGAGAAAAATGCTAATAAGTAGAACTTTCCAAAACCATGAAACACTGGGCTATTTGGTTTCTTTTTTGGTTTGTTTTTTTTTTCCCAGTGATGTCATTTACTGTATCAAAATACGGTGCTACATGTACCTAGAATTAAAAATCAGTTAGTGTTAAAGATATGTTTAGACACTGCACGCTTCCAAATTTAAAAGCAAAACATACATAAATATATATGCACCATGACATAGTTGCCTTTCTATGAGTCTGCAGTAGGATATGCCCCATCCATCCTACAGCAAAGAATAGGATTGTAGGCCACAGGACAGAGACCACAGAATTACAGAATATTCTGAGTTGGAAGGGACTCACAAATATTGAGTCCAGCTCTTAGGCAAATAGTCCATAGAGGGATCAAACCCACAACCTTACTGTTACTACCACCATGCTCCAACCAACTGAGCTAATCTCAGAGTCACTGCAAGCCATATGAGGCTCCACAGCAAAGTTCATAATTGCAGGTATTAGTTTATGCCTGCAATTTGTTGATTCCCCTCGGGGAGGAAAGAACATCTTCAAAAATTTAGCCTATGTTTTGGAAATAGGTTAGATTTTATATCTTCACTTAACTTGTAAATATGTAGAAGGCATTTTTTATGACAGACATTGAACAGTAAAGTCTCAGTGTCAAATTCCACATAGACATATATACAGAGCATCCTCCGAAATTTGAGAAGAGCAGTAAGGGGAATAGATTAGGACAGAATTACCTTCTGTGCCTGGAGGGGTTTCCCTACACTAGAGATTAAAGTTTAGTTGAGACACACAGAGCAGTGCAGATGCTCCATCAGAAAAATACAAAGGGCTCAGTAAGGCAGATCTACACGGCATTCCAGCAGACTGCAGTGTAATTTAGGCTCAACTGAAAATTCATGTGTTACAATGACATTGCTTCCAATAACTGCAATGGGATAAGTGAGCTGAAATAAACCTAATAGGCTTCTCAAAGAAAATGGAAATTAGTTAAACAATAGAATTTTAAGTCCTGTCCATTTATTCATACCAGTAAAGAAGTAGAGGTTTCACTACTTCAGGCTGAATCTGTCTTAAATGCCATATATTCCACTGATCTCCATGCAGTAGATCAAGCCTGAGTAATACTTCTGAACTGAGGAAATAGTCTCCACTGCTCAGCAGGTACAGTTTTTTCATCTTACTGAGATGCCTGCAGTCAACAAAAATAGTCACATAAGCATGTATCAGAAGCTGTACAGAACTGAGTACAGTTCATCCTACTGATTAAAGTGCTGTCATGCAACATGTTTTTAATTGCAAGTGGCAGAAGCCAAAACAATTTTTCTGCAAATTAGAGACAGGTTGTGTATAAGATAAAATGTACAGTGCCTTAGAATAGACAATCTGAATACAGCAGACCCTTTCATTAAAGCACTTTGTCATACTGAATGCCCTAATTGTGAATTTAATTTCTTTTATTCTTTTTTTTCTGTTGCCATCTGTTTTCCAAATCTCTGTCTGAAACAGCCTTAATAATATGGCAATTCTGACTTGCAAGTCTGCAAGCTTTGCAAACCTGACTCTGCAAAAAGAGTTTTATCAGCTTCAGCAGAGTCATTCCAGACATACCTTGTCAGGACACGCATGATTACTTTAATTGTGTCTATTCTATTCAAACATTACAATTTACTCTGAAATCTCAAAACTTGCATTAATCTAGCTGAGTTACAAGTGTTAAAGCAATAGGGATAACTGTTAAATAATGAGAAATACCTTTGCTGTCTCGTAGTGTTCTTAAGAGCCTTTAGTCTTTCAATATCCATCCAGAGCCACCAGTACCTTTCCCCAAGTGTTCCTTTAATGAACTTCTTGAATCTTTCAAACTCATGTCTGTTGCCAGTGTCATAAGTCCCATGACTAAGACACCAGGCAGCCCTGCTGTCTGGCCCACCACTTTCAGAACTTGAACATAAGCTTACTTCTTCAGGATCTCCTTTTCTTACTTCTCCCTTGGAGTCCAAGGCAGTAAGTGGAGAAGAACTTTGTTTAAAGAGTGACTGTGCAGTACTACAGGCAACAGCGTCAGCATCTGGCTGGTGAGTCAGTTCTGAAATGGGTTCCTTCATTACAATTTGAGTAGAAGCTGGCATGAATTTTTCTGGTGTCTGAAAAGTTGTGCTTTCCTGTTCATTTACTTCTTTTGCTGCACTGTCCCATTTTGGGTCTAGATAAACTCTTAACTGCCCGTGGGAAGGAGGTTCAGAAATGGCCACAGAAGAGCCCTCCTCAGCCTTGCTGGATGTCTCATTAGCAGCGTCAGCTTTTGTGGATGCAGTCCTCGAAGGGGAAAGGAAACTCTGTTGTTGGCATTCCTCAGACAGGGAACCTGCTTCTGCATTAAATCAGAAAAGATCATTGAACACCCTTTTGATTCAGGACTATTCTCTTGCATATCAACATCGCCAAGTTAAAAAATGCAACATATTTATATTTTGCTGCTGCAGAACAATCACATCATTTCATTTTGCAGAGGAGGGAATAGCAGAGGTGCTTCTCCCATTGCTATCTGCCTAGAAACTCAGCCCCATGACTCAGAAACTCATTCCCCGTTGAATTCCAGCAGAGCAGCAGAGTTCAGGAACAGCTCCCTCTGGAGCCAGTTCTCGTTAGCTCAGCTAAACATCCCAGCTCCTCAACATCAGTTAACCACACTGATGTACTGCAAAGCCTGATTCCTTCCTGAGCATTTGGTCATAGTTTGATCAAAGCCACAGTATATAGCAGAATAGGGGTTTTTTTAGGCCTGAGGAAGCTAATAAATGATGATTCTTTATCTGCTTATGTTGATCCTGAGACTAGCTCAGTTGGTTAGAGCCTGGTGATAATAACATCAAGGTTGTGGGTTCAATCCTCATACTGGCCATTCACTTAAAGTTGGACTCAATAATCCTTGTGGGTCCCTTCCAACTCAGAGTATTCTGTGGTTACTGCAAATCAAACATCTGTGTCAGTAGGGTAAACTCTTGACATAGAAGGATGACTAAACAAATAATTATGTCTAGGGCTCTGGAAACATTTAAAAATCCTACAGTCCAGTCTGCCACCCAGAAATGGCTTCTTTTCATTTAGAGATGTTTTATAACTAAGAAGTTCAGAACAGTGACCAGCCCTGGTTTTTTGGTCTACACTCCTCTACTTAATTGCTTTTACCCAACCCTTCCTCAACCCTGTGCCATTAAGCATGCCATGCCATCCTGGTCACTAAAAAAGAAACTTACTGCTTTAACTTGTTTAAATATCTTTTCTACTTCTGCCAGACTGTTAGAAAATTGATTTTTTCTGAAGGATGTTAGCAAAGATGACCTTGACTGTACACACTAGTTAATGCTGCTCTCACTGTACAAGTCAGTTTTGTAAAACTGAGCAGAATAAGTACAGATATCCTAAACAGCAGCAGAATCTAAGTGAAAGTGAATCTAAGTCATAATTAAATTGAGACTTTACAATAACTTCATATCATCTATCAATACAGCGTTTAAACTACAGAATAATCTGCATCTTCTGTATGTCACTAAAGCTAAGCTGTAGACTTTCACGCTCCATTGTATCACTAAGGCAAAACACTGTCAGTGAGGACACTGCTACAACCTCTGAGCACGTGCACCACATGGGGCTGTGAAAGAAAAGGGCTAAACCTCTCAGATCCACTAAATTCACATTTGTAATGTTATCAGTCTGTGTAACCTTCTATGGTGGTCTAGTCAATAAATGGCAATGGCAGTTAGATGTTCCTTTCAATTTCTTCCAAAAATAAGCCACGTCTAACCAGTGCTGGTCACTGTCACAGACAGTCACTTGGATTAGGAAAATGGCATAGAGATCCCCTCCTCTACACTTACCTAATTTCTTTAGTGTCTATAGCACAATATGTTGATACTAATATAAAAATCAGTGTGATTAAAATATCTTTTCTTATTTCCAAACTATTTCAAATGTTTTCACTTGACAAAGAAAAATTATAGCTTTTCAACACAAGTCTATGAAATAGAAACATGGAGACCTGGGGCAATTGGGGGGAGAGATACACAGCTCTGGAGCAATAAAAAGTGAAGTGGTTCAGGGGTTGTTCAAGAATTAGTTGATAACCCTGATCCAACTGAAGCAATGAGAAAGGAATTTAGATTGGATTGTCCAAGCAAATACCTTCGGCTATTGAACTCTGATTGCAGACTGTGTCTGCAGAACTGTGCATTTGTGACCTCTCCAAAACAGTGGTAGAGTCATGAGCTGCAAACAAGTGTGACTTGAATAACTTCATTAATAATCCATACATCAGCAATATATTTTCTGGGGTGATCCTCATGGTTTGGGGAAGAAGGCAGACTTCTGGGGTTATCATGTCTTCCAATTTTCCATTCAGCCATTGGACTCCAAGGTCCCAGCAGTACAAGTCTCAAAGTGGAATGGCTGCTTTTTTCTCTGAGAATGGGAGAGAGAGCGAGCTCCTAACATATGAGCTGAGGCTTCTCTGTTCATCTTGCTACTGCGTAAAAAGCAAAAGCAAGGCTGTGCAATCAGGTGTATGTCCATATGTGCATCTGTATGCATATCATTCTCCCAGAACCTCTGAAGCCTGCTAACAATTTCAGTTAAATTTGAAGATAGACAGGAATCCAAACGATTACATTTTATAAGCTTCATAAAAATTGGCAGTCAAAAGACTCTTAAGTGCCCAACATAAATACCCTAAGAAGATGGCTGCAACACAAATTGTACATTATCAAATACCCAAAGAATCTAGACAAGGATATCTTTCAAAACACACGAAATGGAAAAAAAACCCAAAAACCCAAACCAAAAAGCTCTCAACTGAAACATATGTATACATAGACATATGTAAGAAAAGAAGCTACTACTATCACAAAATTATTTGGCTACTAGATCAAATTTTCACCTAATGCTGTAGCTACAGAAATTAAAAATGCTGTTCTGAAGCCTCAGATACCATGCGATACTCAGAAGGTAATAAGTGGAATTAGCAACAATTCCTTGGAATGCCTTTTCTTTCCACCTAGTCAGAGCTGTGTTACAAACCATAGGGTTACTTGTTACTTACCCAGGAGGCTATCTTTTTCACTTAATGATTCGTCTCTTTCATGCTGAATATTTTGAATTTGACTAGAAGTTACAGGGTGTGTAGATGAATCCGTAGTTCTCGTGGAATCACCTTCTTTTGCTAATGTAAACCAATCCTTCACCTGAGAAACTGTAGCCTAGGAAAAGAAATGATAGAACAATTCAAATTTCTCTATTTATTGCACTGTTTCTGAGACCAGAGGGCTTACTGTCCATGGTGATTTTGTGCAGTCTGTGTAGACTTCTGTAAGGATAGTTGCCAGTGAAGAGAGCTGTATGATAGCAGCTGAGCATGCTTGTAACACAGCTCCTGTTTAAGCTGTATTACAACACTCAGACCTCCTTTTATACTGCAAAGAATTTTGAATATAAGAGCTATTCAGAGAATCATACAATCATAGAATGGTTTAGGTTGGATGGGATCTTAAAGATCATCTAGTTCCAACCACCCTGCCATGGGCAGGGAACATTCCACTAGACCAGGTTGCCCAGGAATCAGTTGTCCCATTAGGTTGTGACCTCAGTTACAATAATTTTACCCAATGTTTTCAATCTATCCTGATGTTACACCCAACCATGTGTAATAAACACTAAATGTGTTTATTTTACCTGGCCAAGTGATACATAGAACTTCTTCATAGTCAGTGAAGTGTCGTGTTCCTCAGGATGGGGGGAACTTAGGTCTTGCTTCCTTATCCAGGGATAGTAGTCACTATCTATAATGAAATTCATGCCAGTCTTGCTCCATTCTACCTGGGATATCAATTTAGCTAGTCTGAAATTAAATGTTGAGATGAGGTAATAGTTAATTTTAGCTCTTAATCAGAGAAACAGTTTATTTTTCCATAGAATAGGTAATTAAAAACCATGATCCATCTAAAAATAGAATTTTTACAGAGAACTTCATATCTGCTTTTTTCCTAGAGTAATAGAATTATAGAATATCCTTATCTGGAAGGGACTCACAAGGATCATTGAGTCCAACTCCTTATTATTTCAGCCTTCACCTGCTGTTACATATGTAAATACCAGTACTGCCAATGTATAGTTCAATTCACCAGCTTTACAGATAGTGGGTTTGCATTATCAAGCTTTACCAGTAAAACTGACCTCAGTCAGGATGATTTTTCATGTATCTATGCAGCCTCAAGTCCTGACAAGAAGCCTGTGAACATTCTATTCACTAAAATAAAACTACTCTCCCAGATTGCAGAAGCCCTGTATTACCACCAGACCCTACATCTCCAGTTCCTGATACAAACATTCTTCCAGCAGTAATGCCACAGCATTGATCATACTAATTGAACTTTCAGACAATACCAAGACAGCTGGCACTCTCATGTTCATCTGGCTGCTGTATGAGGATTTCACAGTACTGAACAGCACTCCAGTGCTACCTCGTGTTAGTGTGAACCTGGTGATGTTCAGGAAAGGCAACCTTAGAATCACACGATGACAGTGAGGATGCTCTGAGCTCAAGAACTGGGGCAGAACTTAATTAAGTTAGAAAGAAGTACATAAACACAGAAAGACGAAGCCTATGCTTGAGCCTACAACCAAGTGAATACTCAGTTGCATTTGTGCCCACTACTTGAGATAAAATAGGATTTAATTCTATGGTTGGAGTGTCTTCATCTTTAAATGCAAGTTTCCCTTTTAGCATCTAAATTTATCCTGATTCTGATTCAGGAAAGCATTTGAACCACTGATGGCAACTGAAATTAGGTACATGTTTTAAGTTAGTTTTATGTAATTCTCTTGGGCAACTCTGCTTGATCAAATAAATAGTTTGCTATAGCAGAAGACAAAAGTTAGTGTTTCATGAGGCTGAGATATGTATAAAGCAGCTGCTGCTAAAGGTAAAATGGAACTTTCTCATGGTTTCCTTGTTCTTTGCACACTTTTCCCCTTGAACTTAAGTGCAGTCATCAGGTTATAGAAAATAAAAAACACTTTGAAATTTTTGCTGTAGAAGTCTATACCCCAGTAACTACCCTGTCATTACAATCAGCAAACATGAGTTTTGTAAACCATACTGCCAGCCTGCCTCTCCTTTTGGAGAGGCACTACAATTAGCAGCATCTAGACTCAACCTTAAGGGATACAGAGGTAGATCCTCCCAAAAAGCACAGTAAACCTCCTGAACATCTGCTGAAAGGACATCTGGAAAAATATAGCAAGTTTATAACAGTAAATCATCCAGCTATGCCATGGCATCCCACAGAGAACTTTGCTAAAGGAACTCTGACAGTGGGCCCAAAGACACAAAACTAATAATGGAAATGAAAAGGACTCAGGGGTTTTTCCAAATGGATTTCATGGATTCATAACTCCTATTTATATGGCTTACATATTGATTAAAAAAAGATGCATTGTTACCATGACATCTCTGAGGAACAGCAATTTAGAAATCAGTAAGTCCCCTTCTTACTCTCTTCATAATGGTGAAGTATAGGATGTAATTCATGGTCAAGGAAAATTACAGAATGACAAGTGAAAAAAGTCACTGAATTTATTTTATCCAGATCACTAAAATGCTAAAATAAACAGGATGAGAGGAGGGCAAAAACTTTTTAAGAGTACTATCAAGATTAATTAAACTGAAGAGGATAATGTACAAATTTAAAACTAAAAGAGAGCATAAAAGATTGCAATACCTGTATTCAAAGTAACAGTCACTTCCTAGAAATGCTGGAAGCCTTTCTTTCTTAATCCACTGAATTGCTTGTTCTCGATCAAGACACTATTAAAAAAGAAATGCCAAAATTTGCAGTACTCCTGATTTTCTTGTTTTGTTGGCCATGTAACTGCTTCTCTCCATCCCCCTTCTACAGAAGCATTGTCTCGGTATGATAAATATACAGTGAACATCACCTTCATGCTGGGACAATTGAGCTAATTTACTTTCCTATTAAAAGCTAAAAAGGTCTAAATCTGATTTCACCTATTAGAGTACAACTTCTGTAACAAATCATGAGTGTTTCTTCTTCAGAAATAATTTCTGAAGAATTGTGCTTTTACTGTACAATTCCAAATGCAAATTAAACGTACATAAATTTTCCACAATAGCAAATTGCTAATTTTTCTGACTTTATCACATTTTATAACTAACTATTGCATTTTTCCTCTAGAATTTGAAGAGTAAGAAACCCTTAATTTAAGTTATATTCCCAGAATGACAGAGTTGTGGATATTAAAAACAAAATCAAACAAATAGAAATCCAATCAGTTACCGCCTCTCGCATTTTTATGTTTGACCATTGCAAAACTGCACTGCACACAGCAATTCTCATAGTGGAAACCTAAGTGTCTTAGGACCTGGAGCCACCACAGATTTCTGCTCAGGTAGCCTGAACCTCAGTGCCTCATAAAAGCAGAAAGGAAGGTGCCTCCAAAGAGTGGTTTGGGGAGTGAAAGGGAGTGTTGAGCAGCAAGCTACACAGAGGCAGTTAACCAAGAATGCATGTGTAGGAACTTACGCAGGGAGAAAGATCTCTGACTGTAGGCCACAGTGTTCCATATCGGTTTCCCTTAGAAATGACACACAGCACACTTTAATTTTTTTTAATAGCATACTTTTTCCACTCTTAGGCGATGACCTGTTTTATTTATCTGAGGTTTATTTTTCATTTTAGTGAAGATGAGATTAATGATTTTGAAGAATGCAGTAATCATCCTTGTCCATAAAAACAGGTGAAGTGTGGGCAAGGATGGATGCTACTTGCTATATCAAGTAATCAGTTTATGTAGATCACAGCTTAAATTTTCTTTCTATGAGCTAATATTCCATTAGGGGCAAGGGTTATTTCTGCCTCATATATATCTGTAGGGGATTAAAAAAATCTGAATTACTCAGAAAGTGGGTGGTTTCATTTAGAGAGAAGAAAATATTTCAAAATATGGAAAGCTTATGTTGGCAGTGGCTCATACAATGTAATTTGTGGAGATGGAGACTAATTACTCCCAACCACATAGTGTATGCTTCTTTTTGGCAACTGACAAACTTTTTTGAAATACAGAAGATAGTTTCTTTATTTTGGCATTTAATATTTATGTATTTACTGACTTACAGCCTAGTTTTTTATCTGAATGATTCATAACATACGTCTGTAAATGGCTGGTACACAAAGTTATATGTAATATCAGAAGGAAAGAATCTCTGCTCTTTCCCTATCCCCAGAGAAAGATGCTACATTTAATCTGATGGGGTTTGTTACCTTAGTTAGCTTCCTTACCCAGTCAGCCTTAGGCCTTGCTAGGACCCAATCCAGCAAAGCTTTTAGCACGTGTTTAAGTTTAAGCATGTGTTTAACTTCCCTTGATTAAAGTTAAACACATACTTAAGTGCTTTGCTGAACTGGGGTTTCTCTGAAGTAAGATATGTGGGATGCCAGCCAGTTTCTCTCCATAGTTGTGATCAATTCTACCCAACTCCACAGGTTTTTTTCCTCAATGCATTTTACACAAAGCTGATTTTCACTACTGATGAGAAGATACTTACTTTCATATCAATGATTTGCAAATGTGCAAGCACACGTGCAGAGAACTTTTGTTTATCTGTAAATTTGTAACTGTCTGAGAGGGAAGTAAAATATACAGCAAAATACCACCGCATGTATTTCTTAGGCAAGATGTGCTTAAAGTTAGGCTGTACCCTGAAAGGCCTACTAGGACTTTCCAATCATAGCTCCTTTTCATAAGTAACCTGCCAGTGATGGCCACTCAAGGTGACCTTTTGTAAGCAATGTAACATTCAAAGCAACTGCCATCTTTTTGGTCAGTGTGAAGAAGGCAGCCAAAGCAAACCAGACAGCATCACCCGATGCCTGAAAGATCAAATCCTATTGGATTTGGACTGAACTACTTGATGTAGTTGGTCTGGGGTGGCTTCTTCTGGATCAGTCACTGCAATACAATGAATGAAGCTATCTTCTCTTACCTTATGTATTTGCAGTAACCATTTTGGGCACACTGTTTCACAGGCCATTCTGCTCCAGCTCAGACTTTAGATGCCAAGTTGAACTGGATGAGGCATCTTCGTTACCCATCCAGTAAAGGAGAAGTCAAAAATAAGAACAAATATCACCCTTTCCCACCAACGGAGAAGAAAGGGTACTGAGGCACACTGCTCCTCAGAAGGCCATAATGCTTCCCCATTTATGGAAAATGGCCCAGAGGAAGAAACAGATTCTTAAATAATGCAGAAGCCCTGTTGCTCCAAACCACATGAAAGATGAAAGTAACAGTGAAATGGCTTTGAATTTGTCAAGAAAGGCCATGCCCAGTGGCAATGACGTGAGGTTATCCAAGAGGCAATGTTAGCAACACTTGCACAAGCTAACAGCATTTCCTCAGTTTAATGCTGAGAGCAAATAAGAAATTGAGAATAGCTCTTCTGCCTTTGTGCTCCCAAGCAAAGCATTTGTGAAAAAAACTGTTTCACATGGTAGGGATGTCTGTGGGCCTTGTCCTTTTGTAGCATTTGTCCAGTTTCAGTGCAAACAATTGCAAATCACATTAGTATCATTTTGTTAAACAACATTGCCTTTTAGTATCATTTTGTTAAACAACATTGCCTTTTGACCTCTCTCAACACTTTCTTTTCTGAAAATCATTAAGCTTATGCTGGGCAAAGCAGCAGTTTGTTACAACTCCCTGCTCTTCTCTCAGCTTTCCAGCTATGATATAATTTAGAGCAGCCACTGCTAAAAATGTAGCAAGACCTTGGACTGGCCTTGAGTGAAATGATGTCATGTCAGTCACCTCAATGTGAGGTAAGCAAGAAAGGAATAAACCAAGTATCCTAGTGAAATATTTTGTTTCCTCCAAAGCTACTGTTTAAAGGTAAACTCCCACATCTAATTATACCAACTTGTGTTCTCTCAGGTGCTTCGACTCCTGATTTTAACTTGCCTAATTTGGTGCCGCAGGGACGCCCTGAAAGTAGGCAGGTAAGAATACCAAAATTGATACTGTCTAAGCAAGTATGAAACAAGATTTCTTTTCTAAAATCCAATCCATCTTTCTGTTAATTTAGCTTTCTTGTTGCCAATAATTATTTTTTCTGGCCATTTCAATTGATGTTAACTATGTAAATCCTTTGGGAATAAATGGAAGAGAGACTTATGTATTGCCAGACCACAGATGAGCTCATAGCCACACAAGGAAATTAATTAATAAGGAAAGACTGAGCTGCATTAGTTTCAGTCAATTTGCACATTCCAGGGATCACTAGTAAAGTAACTGTTGTCATAATATTTTTTCTTTTAATATTAAAAAGTATTCAGACCACACAGCTGAATCCTGCCCTACAGAATCTTCAAAATTCTGTGCTACAGGATGTACATCTGTAATTCCATTTACTTGTCTGCTAGACACGTGCATTACAGGGCATAATTTGGCCCATCATTATGTTTTCCTAACATAAATTAACATTTTTTCCCAAGCTACCAAGCCAAACACAACAATAATTACTGCCAGTATCTCTACAGTAAGATCTAAATATAAACTCAGGGGCTATAAGATGCTTACCATAGTGTTGTAATTTGGATCCATATTGAAGGCTGGAGAAGCACTGTGCATTTTGGAGAGCTGCCCGTCATTCTTTGCTTTCCTTAGAACATCATAAATGGGATTTGGAGGTTTCTGATCATGTAGATTTTTTTTCAGCTGGTTTTCCAGGCATCGTGGGGCATAATTAACTACTTCAAAAACCCCAACATCTGAGTTAAACTTCACTGGCTGGGCAAAAGTCTACAAAAGAAGTTTGGAAAGTTTATGACATTGTAATAAGGGAACTCTCATTTAAGAAAGTTACTTTTTATAATATAGAGGCATCCTACAGAATACAAGCTGGTATTATGAGGCTTCTTTCTCTTGGGGCCTGGAATAGTATTTTTTCTGTATATTTGCTCTTCAGAGTTTTTGCTATGTAGCTTTCCAAAGCATTCCTACTTTTTCTCTCAGTTATGCTTAATTGTAAAGTATTTAAATCATTCTAGATCACAGGCAATTCTTTTTCACATGCAAATAATAGAACCAGTACAAGAATGTCTATGATATGTGATTCACAGCGACTTTAGTAACTGTTCTGCAGGGAACAACTTACCTAAAGGATCAGATCTCCAGTGTTATTCTCCCATTTGTTATCACCAACAATCAAGGCCTGAAAATATTAGCAATGAAGCTGATCTTTTAAATCTGAGATGCATTTGAGGAGGATAAATCTGAAGAGTTTCATATGTAGGAAAGGCTTTTCACCATATTGTTACTTGTAGGTCAAACAACTACCAAAACCCATGGCCTGCAGTAAATTTTATTATACATCTCACTAGTTCAGTCAGATACTGCATAATATGGGAGACAGACCAAACTTCAGCTATGCAATTCTGACTTTTGTCAACTCCAAAAACCCACTGCATATGTACACACTAAATCAAAGCCATCTTTCATCTTTCAAGCTCTGGTATTAGGTATGTCTCTAAAAAACTATCTTTCAAGTACACTTACTTGAAGAGGGAAAATACGGATGGATTTTTTAGAAGTAATGGAGGATACCCAAGACAGTTCTGAATATGAGACTATATACAATCAGAGCATATAGGCATCTCCACACTCAGCTGGAAGACGAGAAGGCATGTTGTGTTTAAGGACTCAAAAAACTACTGGCCACATCTACACCTAGAGCCAAAATTCATTTTGGCTTCGTTCCAGACAGTATCCCACCTGGTGTTTGTACAGTTGTCATTCCTCTGCACTTAATAAGATTATTTTATTTTTTCAAACACTGTATTTTTCATTTCCTTGAATTTTTTCATATAGCACATATATGCACACATAGACATAATTCATAGACATACTCCATATGCTGAATACATGTTACATATAATATAGAAATATATTACAGACCAATTTTATTCTTCTTCACACCTGTATAAACCCAAAGTAATTATGCTAGCGTCAGCTATTTTGTTGCTTCTGGTTGAAGCTCCCTTGTTGATCAACGTCTCGTAGAGCAATGCCCAGAACCATGTGGCTGCAACATGTGGTTTTAACATTCCCTACTTATCCCATAATGTCTCACTGTGGAGGCTCAGCCTGGCAAAGCACAAAGCAAGTGAGAGCTTTAAGTGTATGATTAGTGTCTATGACATCAGACCATCACTGCGCAGAGCCGTGCATTGAATCGCGCAGGTCTGTTCAGTTACCTAACTTCAGCAGAAATCACACATTGATTTTTGTTCTCTGACACCTTGTGCCTCTTTTGGCATTAGTTTTCTCCAGCGCACTCTGCATCTGTTCTTTTCTCCAGATGGACTGAACAGCATTTTAAAAAGCCTTCTATGTGTAGAAAATTTCTCTACATTCAGACTTCCTCCCAGTTTGCTACATGTATGTTTCATTTACTTTCAAACCTAATTTGGTCTGCTACCAACTTTTAAGTGACTAACTGTGCAACCTTAATAGCCTCGAAATGTATTCTTCCCTATTTGTTTCCTCATGTTTTTTAAAAAAGAAACAGAAGAAAGTGCACTAAGAAACATGGTAGTTCAGTCTCTTAGGATTCGAAATGCTCTTGCTCACAGAAAAAAATTAAACAAAAGGCAAATTTTATAATATAGGGCTAAGTGATTAGACATGACTAGATTATTTTAGTTCCATGCTGTTCAAACTAAAACCAAAGCAAATACAATATCAGTTTATCACATGCATCTACTTTTATTTAATCCTTTGTAACTTATTCTAGATCTAGGTTTTTTCAACACATATTCTATTTAGTGGAACAGAAAACTACAGCAACTTTAATGTAGTGAAACAGATGCTAGTGACAATTTTTAAAATGTAAAGTGTATTGCTATTTTGGGAGTCTTACTACCAACCATTTATAAGACAAATATACTAATGGAGCAGAAGAACATGCACTGAAGGGATAGGAAGGTTAAGACTTCATACACCACATACTTGACTAAAAAAGGTGGTTCTAAGTCCAGATTTTCGGGTATTGGACTAAGATGTAGTTACACATCCCCAGGGGCAGCAAAGGCATGCATACATCTTGTATCAGTCAGAGAGTAGGCAGTCAACTTGACACTATAAGGCTGCATCTGGAATATTGCACCCAGTTTTGGGTCCTCAGTACAAGGAGGATGCTCACATACTCAAGTGCAGCAGAAGACCACTGAGATGGTCAGAGGCTGCAGCACTTGCCCTGTGAGGAGAGCCTGTTTAGCCTGAAGAAGAGACAGCTCTGGGAAGACCTAGCAGCAGTCTTACAGTAGTTTTAAGGAGATTACCGAAAGATGGAGCCAGGATTTTTATGCAGGTGCACGGTAGGAGGATAAGAAACCATTCGTAGAAAACAGCAGAAGTCTGAACTGGATTATAAGAAAAAAGGTAGTTGTGGCATGATTAGCATTGGAACAGGCTGTCCAGAGAGATTATAGAATCTGTTGTTGGAAGTTTTCAAGACCAACTGAAGTAAGTGCCAAGCAACCTGGTCTCAATACTAAAGCATTGACCCTGCTTTGAGCAAGAAACCAGACTACAGACTTCCCCAAAGCCCCCTCCAGACTGAGTGATCTATGATTCTGTACAAATTCCAAATTCTACCCAATAGAGCATCTCTATCTCTCAAACTAATATATAAAAGCATTTTGGAATAGATAAAACCTTTCTGAAAAAGCAAATTTCACTTGCTTACTTAAGAAAACTAGAATGATAAATCAGAATGTTTTTATAAGCATAATAAAAGAAGAGGTAATTCCTGACCTTTTTAACTCATCACCACCACAAAAACAAGTGATAATGTTATGACAAAAATCAATTGAGAACATGCAAAAAAAACCCCCAAAACTGATTTCTCATAGGAAACATTTTACGAGTTGCAGTGCAGGAGAGAGGATCAAACAATCAATTTTCCCTTCAGTATGCAAAGAACTTTGGATCAAAACACACAATCTAACCATTCCCACACATTACAAGCCACAAAAAAAAAATCCAATAAAAAACTGTTCAATTTTCTGTAGCAAACTTTAAACCTTTCCCACAGAAGCCAACTGCTGTAAAATCCTACAATGTTTCATGGGACAATAATAAGAAAGGTTTATGGCACCACCAATATTCTAGGTCACTGCAATAATGAGGAATCTCTTCAGTGAAATTGGAGTGGATGAGAGTCTGTACTAAAAAGGAAAGGGAAAAAAAATATCCATTCCAATCTAATATACTAAGAAATGTCTTTCTTACTCCACATTTGGCAAGTGCTTTGGCTTTTTAAGGACAAGTAAAATACACTAACAAAAGACTAAATGTATCATTCTCTCTAATTTGGGCCAATTTTCGATGCTTTGAAGATAAAGGGGAAAACTCCAGAGCCAAATTATACCTCAAGATGTTAAGAAAAAATATTTTAGGTTTGGCAGGAGCCTTGAAGCTTGGGATTCCTACATTATCAATTTAGCACAACAAATAGGATCAAGGACTTGAAAATGCCAACAAATAAGAAGTCTACAGACTTTGCAAACTGTTTTACTCACAGGCAATTCTCCTCTTGAACCCAGTATGACCAATGTAACTCAGTGTAGTAAACTCAACTTCGGAAAAAATCTCCAAGCAAATAAAAAAAAGCTGTTTTCAGACCGTGGTACAGCAATACTATTAAATAAATAAACAATTGTATGCACTTTTTTGACAGTAAAGAAATTTCTTAGCTGTCAAACACACATTTAATATAGTTTCAGCTGAATAATAAACAGAATACATAACTCTGAAACCTGAAGTTATACACTTAACTGAAGGCAAGACAAATTTCTCTCAGTCCTCCCATAACAGAAACCAAAACAGCATCCATCACCACGTTGCCAGGATATCAGACATATAAATCTCACTGTTCTCCGTCTTAACAGTTTTCAGATATACTTAACTTCAGATACCATTAACTAGAGTGTAAATATGCTCACCCCATTTCAGACCCAAATAACATAGTTTGATCCCAAGAGAAACAGAATGACCACAGCTTGGCTGCTTCTTAGGTTAAGGGTGGGAATGAATAGAGATCTCACCCAGGAACTTTGCCAAAACTTCCTTAAGACGGGTATGTCTGTGTCATAAATAAATGTCAGTGAGAGTCCAGACCAGAATTTGAGCAGCAATGTGAAGTGTCTGGAAAATTCACACTACACACGGTCAATGCAAATCTCCCATTGACTTTAGCAACTTCAGCCTTTCCCTTCTGCTGATGAGCAAGACAAAAGTCACAATCACATATCACAATCTAATTAAGAGAGAAGAGAAGAATATTTACAGTAAACATACTATCAGTAAGAAATTAAGTCAGGAATGCTTCATTTGCTTCCCTGAATGTCAAAAACATGAACAAGTTTTAGTCCTGGGTAAGTCTCAACATAACATGCATGTAGGGCCTTACTTAAGACAAAGCCTTTTTCAGGGAGGCATCTGCAGCCTCCCTCCACACACCTGGGGAAGATAAAACTACTGAGCATGCACTGATGCCTTGATTTGATGATTTGATGCATGGAATTATTCAAAGTCAACTTCAAAACAGTGAAGGGCCTGAACGGTGCAGCAGAGTGGATTGCTTTTTTGCTTTCTGCCCTTTCTGTCATCTGCTACTCGTAAGTCAGGTCTGGTTTTATTCTTGACAGCACTAGGTTTTCAGGACCATTCTGTCTTCAGAAAGACAGGCCCAAGCTTTGTTACTTGGACTTTAATTGTTTTCAGAATTATCACCTGCAGCAAATGCTGGATCCCAGACTACTTGGTGGAGAGCTTATATAGTGAGAACAACTACCAAATCTGAGGTTGATAATATTGTGGTCACTTGGCAGATTACTGCTGCTAGGGAAACCAACAGCCAGGGACTTGCAACCAAAGCATCATCTCCTGGATGTGCTTCAACTGAGGCTCAGTTAGGTATTTTGTCTCTAGTGCAACAACTTGAGGTTTCAAAGAGGAGCAGCGTGCCTTCCTTAGGATCACTGCTCACTGGAAAATGAGGGGTAAGACCCCAGCATAGACTTGGGGTGGAACAAGCAGCAGGCAGCCTGCAGAGTGCAGGAGAAACAAGCTGACATTACTACGCTTGCTTTCAATGCTGAGCTTGGATGGCAATTTCTGACTTCTGAATTTTCATTCCTGACTAAACATATTCTTGGATGTTTTTAATACGTGGATCAAAGATTCAAATTCTAGGGCTGCCTGACCACCAGCAATGGAAATGTATCAAGGCCAATGTTTCTCTTAAATCTTTCATTTTACATTAGTTACTAAGGAAGGTGTAACTTGTTTGTGTGTCATGTAATTGGTTTCTGCTACTGTGAAATCACTATTACTGGCAATAACTGCCCTCTTGAGGTTATTTGTATTACATCTTTCAGAAATATTTCTGTACAAACTATCCTTCATTACAGTATGCAGATCTTTGGAGTACTTAGATATTCATGTCAGATTGTATTAAATATCATTATAACAAGTGGATCACTTAAAGGATACACTGTAAATCAAAGCAAAAAAAACCATGAAAAATCTGCTGCTGCTATAGCAAGTCCCCAGTGATACAATTTTCCGTATGCTAATGGTGCCTCATAAATCAATGCAGAGGCAGCCTCTTAAAATAAGCATATGCTACCCCTGCTTTCTTGTATCAAGTCACACAATATTTTTAGTTTAACTTGTTGCCTAACTACTAGCACACCTGGGTAATACTGTTCCCAGGCAACAGCATATAAGCACAACAAGAATAAAGCAATGGAAATTTCAATGCGGTGTTTTAGTAGAAGCCTTCTGAGAAGGAGAGGAAAATTGGGAATGTAAGGTATTCAAACCACAGAACTCAAGGCATTAAAAGAACTTAATCCTGAAGAGGGTAAATACTTAGGAAAAGATCAAAGAGAAAATAAAACCAATTATGAGAACATTACAGTTAAAAATAGATAACAGAGCATCTGTTTTCATGAAGATATGTAAATATGTGTAAGAGAGACCATGTGTCATCTTAGAAGCTACCAAGATTACCAGCGTAAAATAGTGTTTACCCAGGAGTGACTGTGAACTCTTTTCTGTGGGCTCCAGAGCCATCAGGAGTGCCTGGACAATTGCTGCGGTTTAGAGCTGCTGAGCTGCGCCAGGACTGTGGGCTGAGGAGCCCTCTGAGGCCAAGGAGAATTTTGGCCTCTAACAGATGTCCTGAAATCTGTTCATGTCCAAGGATACCAAGAGACTAAGCAAGCTGAACTTCTTACCCACTCCGTCCTCTGAGATTTGGGGAAAACTTGAAGCATAGTTTCCAAATAAGCAGCAAAGGCACAAAGGATGGTATTCCTGCGCTAAGAACAATCTGGCACATGGAAGGAGGCCTGGGTTTAAAAGCTAAATAGTTAGGCTTGGATTTAGTCAGATATCGTAGAGCAGCTGCAGGGGGGAGGTGGAGGATGTTGGAGAAAGAAAAAGCCCCAGCCCCTCTCACCACACACTTTCTTCCATCTGTGTCTCTCCAGCTTTGAAAAAATTATTCTTAGGAATCTTGCAGTGTGGTGAAAGCACGTAAAGGCTGAGCTCCTGAGAGAAGTTAGTATTGGTGCTGTGCACAAAATCCACACATCTGAATATCTTCCGATTCTATTTTAAGCTTAAAAATTGACATGGGGAGCCCATTCTATCACCTTTAGTTGTGCAATTTCCATTATATGTGTACATTTACACAAACCTGTGATGTGGCTTAGAGAGCACAGCTATGTCTAGTTCAGTTTGGTAAGCCAAATCATTCAGTTATGAATCATAACTGAATTTATTTCACTAATGGCTGCACCAGAGTATGAGGTCCAAGGAGCATCAAGAAACATTCTGCCCCTTCCTAACACTGGTGGTGGTTCCTACCAAGTGAGTTGCAGGAATGGGTATATGTTCTTGTAGTGTAGCCTGTTGGACTGCAGTGCCTTAGGAGGGGGGCAGGCTGTGGGACAGCTCTGTGGTACATTGGGTGGGAGCCACGAGTGACACTGTGGAAAACCTGTGCCACTTGGCAAGGGAGTACGGGTGTAAGGTGTGGGGATGAAGAGAATGGGGATAGTCAAGGCCAAGACTACAAAGATGAAGTTGGATGATGTTGCCATATTGAAGGAGCAGGACCATATATTTGACTCTCATGACAAGGTGGGGAAGCAGTATAGTTGATGGGGAAAAGGAGCAAAATATAGGGCAACTAGTTAAAAATAGGGCACTGGATATGGTAGTCTAACTGTAACTGGATCAGCACACAGATTATAGTGTAAGCCTGCACACTGCTAGCTGCAGATGGGAGAGGAAGAGGAGGGAAGTGCCAACTTTGAGGCCTTCAAAGCTGTGAATAGAAATAGAGTTGGTTTTGAGCTTAAATGTATATTAATCACTGAGTGCATTGCCACAAGATTGTAAAAGGACAAACATTTGTTATATCATCATGATGTGATACTGAAATAGAATTGGACTCCTTATACTTTTAAAATAAGTATTTATGTGTCTTTTTCATTTCCTATTTTATTATTTTAGTGCACTGTGATCTAAATAATTAATTAATAACATAAATTTAAATACATAAATAGCCGGGAGGTCCTGGTGGACAACAAGCAGTTCATGAGCCAACAGTGTGTCCTTGTGGCCAAGAAGGTCTGGAGTACATTAGGAGGAGCATTGCCAGCAGCTCGAGGGCTCCTCAGTACAAGAGAGACATGGAGCTCCTGAAGGAGGTCAGGCACAGGGTGACAAAGATGATTAAAAGACTGGAACATCTCTGTTATGTGGAAAGGCTGAGGGAACTGGGCCCATTCAGCCTCAAGAACAGACAAATGAGAGGGGCCCTTATTAATGTCTGTAAGTATCTAAAGGGAAGGTGTCAAGACGATGGAGCCAGGCTCTCCTGGGTGGTGCTGAGCAATAGGACAAGAGGCAAGAGGCAGAAACTGGTGCACAGGGAGTTCCACCTGAACATGAGGAAGAACAACTTGCCTGTGTGGGTGACTGCACACTGAACAGGCTGCCCAGAGAGGTTATGGAGTCTCCCTCACTGGAGATATTCAAGAACTGTCTGGATGCAATCCTGTGCCAGGATGACCTGCTTGAGCAGGGAGGTTGGACCAGACAACCCACTGTGGTCCCTTCTAGCCTTACCCATTCAGTGATTCTGTGATTCTTTAGCTTAGCAAAATAAAATCTGTCCTCAGAAGTCCAGATACTGTGCTACTTTTCCTGATACTGATAAAATTGAGCAGTAAGAGTTGCTACCATTGAAACACAGACATATTGTAAAAGTCATTTAACTAGCAAGCAGCAAAATGTAAAATTTTCTAAGATGGATTAAGTTACTCTTCATTTTAGTATAGTGTTTCTTGAATTTTGCAAGGGATTTCTGTAAGGTACTTACCGGAAGACTCAAAAATTCATTAAAGTAGTCCACAAGCATATCATCTGTGGCTAAGCATTCTTCCTATAGAAAGACAAAACCACAAAGCAAGGCTTGTAGTAATCTGTGCTAATATGGTTTGAATGCACTATTCCCTCAAACAATGTTTTTTTCATGAGATATGACATGGAAACTTTTGCAAAATATTATTTCCCACTTTTGAGAATATAATCATTGCATCACTGTTATATTGCAACCATTGCACACTCCTGAGATCCTTAGCAATGTAAAAAACACAAACAAAGGTAAATCTTACGTCAATAAATTTACAGATAAAGCCTTCATAAACCCAACAGCTTCTAAATGCTGAAAATCTGGATGTTTATTTTTGAAAAAATGTGCATAAGCTAACAGTCTAGAAATTCCCTACATTGTACCTTTCTCTCTTTCACTTGGAAAAAAGGGGAATTCACCCAGGGCCACCAGGGCCACCTTCTGCTCTCACACTGCTGCTTGGGGATGTTTGGGGAACAAAAGGGAGTTCTCTGACCTATATTTTGGCTTAACAAGCAAGCCGTGTATGCCATACTTTGAATCTGACAGAACTGGGAGGCTTCCTGTTGATCTCATCAGAAGTGAAGACTGCATCTGCAGGTGTTTTTGTATCCTTTCTGACCTCTGCATTTTAAATCCTGCTAACAAGACTCAAAAAATTTTGAATAGAAATTGAATTTTTTTGCTGTTGACAAACCCCAAATTATGGATCCAAATCTTACTTCTGCTGTACTCAATACCACCACCATCCCCATTTCAATTCAATAGAGGGTAAAAGTAGAACATTATTCCATTGGTCTTCAGATATGTGTCTTCAGTATAATGAAGACACCTAAATATTTTTTATAGTTTCTAGAATATTCTTATTTCTGCCTTGCAAGGCAAAGAAAATGCACCTAAATCTGATGTATTTGCCAATATCAGCAAAGGTCTTGTGACACAAATCTTTTTTCTCTTTCTTAAGTTCATAGAGTTGAATAGCACTAGTGAGGAATAGCACTAAAGAGAGGTTATGCACAGTGTACATCATATCAAGTGTAGGCAGGCAGTATCTTTATCTAAACCCCACTGGTATAAACAGAGACAGCTCAGGCTCAGGTAAGGAAGAAATCTGAGCTAACATACTTTAATATGAACTCAGGAAGGCTCTTGTTTGCTGCACAACAAGTCAGAACCAGACCTGATGGTGTTTGCCTGGCCCTAATCTGCCAACATTTATTCCTTAGTATTTGTGGTTGCTCCTGTGACTGATACAGGACAGGCAAGTTAGCTCATGCTCTTCCCTAGAAAACGCTGACAATGCTGAAAGCAAGGCTTTCTGCATTACAGAGGTCGTGCTTTATTTGGACCACAGGCCTGTGGCCCAATGCAATTGCAGTACCATGCACCTAGAGATGTTTGGGCACTGATTAAACAGGAGGATTTATTTACGAATATGCAGGTAACATGTGTTTTTAATTTTCCAAGGATATAATTCTCTGTAGTTCCATATAACAGCAAGAAATGTAAACACAGTGGTTGATTAATCAATAAAATGTTTATGATCTTATTAATGCAAGCTTTACTACTCACTGATCTTACTGCATCTATACACAACAAACTTTCCTCTGGTTTTGGAGGGTTTTTTGTAGACAGTCTTATTTTCACTTGAAATCACAGTTGCACTTTCATATTTGCACATTATAAGTTTTGGAGTTGCATGTACAATACTGTAGCTTAGATTTTTGTGTCAGGAAGCATTTTGTTTCATCTTTCCTGTTGCACAGTCTAAATTATGACTATAAAGAGCTGCCTTTCATGAAGAATTGCAACTGGAGGTTAAGGTGTGCTAAAAATTGGTCCAAAACTGTTTCATGCAATTTTTGTATGAATAGGAATATCTTGAGCCTGATTTCTATCACTCTTTTAACACTGAAAGGAATTTTAAAATCATTTTGGCATGGTATACAATAATTTCTTAGGTATTTGCTGGAAATAAACCTAATGACTTCTATCTATAGCATTTGATACCTTTCTCTATTACTGCCATCATGAAAAAGTACAGAAACACAGAAATATTATTAGACATTAAAGGGGAAGTTGAATGTGGATAAAAGTAGCACTATATTGCAAGATTTGCATTTCATGTTGCAGCACCCACTAAAACGATAAATACCTCTCCACCCTTGACAAATATATAAAACACGACATCTTTAAATGTCAAAAGCTGAAAGTTAATATAAAACCCTATACTAAATAGAACTCTGACAGCTTCATGCCTGCGTGTGAAGTTCACCTGGAGTCATACATATCTAGTCATATTAAGGAGCCTGCAGAATCTGGTCTTAATGCAATCTAAATATGCAGTTAGGAGATGCTCTCATGTACATATTTATATATGTCAGATACATTTTATGTATAGAATCATAGAATCGTAGAATTGTTTAATTGTAAAAGACCTCTAAGATCATCAAATCCAACTGTTAACCTGGCACTACCAAGCCTACCCCTAAACCATGTCTCCAAGTGCAACATCCACATGTCTTTCAAATACTTCCAGGGATAGTGACTCAACCACTTCTCTGGGCAGCCTGTTCCAATGCTTGACAAAACTTTTGGTGGCAAAATTTTCCTAATATTCAACCTAAACCTCCCCTGGCACAGCTTCTGGCCATTTCCACTTTTTCCTGTTTCTTGTTACTTGGGAGAAAAATAACTGCATCTGCAAACTTGCTGAGGGTGCACTTGATCCACTCATCCAGGTTGTCAATAAAGATATTAAATAGGACTGGCCTAAGTACTGAGCCCTGGGGAACCCCAGTAATGTCCAGCTGCCAACTGGATTTAACTCACTCCATTCACCACCACTCCCTGGGCATGGCCATCCAGCCAGTGTTTTTACCCATCAAACAGTGCACCTGTCCACATCACGGGAAGCCAGTTTCTCCACAAGAATGCTGTGGGAGATGGTGTCAAAGGCGCTACTGAAGTCCAAGTAGACAACATCCATAGCCTTTCCCTCATCCACTAAATGAGTCACCCTGCCAAGTGTGATCAGATTTGTCAAGCAGGACAAATGGGTTTTTCCTAAACCCATACTGGCTGGGCTGATCCCCTGGTTGTACTGCACATGCCGCACTATGGCACTCAAGATGATCTGCTCCATGATGTTCTCCAGCACCAATGTCAGGCTGACAGGCCTGTAGTTTCCCGGATCTTCTTTCCAACCATTCTTATAGAGGAGCTTCACATAATCCAACTTTGTCACCTGGGACCTCCCAGCTGACCAGGACTGCTGGTAAATGATTTAAAGTGTCTCGGTGAAACACTTTTACCACCTCCATCAGTACCCCTGGGTGAATTCCATCTGGCCCCATGGACTTGTGCAGGTCTAAGTGGCATAGCAGGTCACTGGCCATTCCCTCCTGGATTATAGAGGCTCCATTCTTCTCCCTGTCTCTGTCTACCAGCTCATGGGTACCTTGACAATTACTGGTCTTGTTGATAAAGACTGAGGCAAAGAAGGTATTAAGTACCTCAGCCTTTTCCTCATCCTTTGTCACTATGTTTCCTCCCACATCCAGCAAAGGATGGAGATTCTCCTTGGCCCTCCTTTTGTTGTTGATGTATTTGTAGAAACACTTCTTGTTGTATTTTACAGCAGTGGCCACATTAAGTTCTATCTGGGATTTGACCTTTCTAATTTTCTCCCTGCATGACCTCACAACATCCTTGTGATACTCCTGAGCTGCCTATCCCTTCTTCTCACTGAGTTCCAGTCAAAGTTCTCTTGTCCTTTCTCACCCCTGGCTTGTCTTTTGGTATATGGGGAAAGCCTGCTCCTCTACCTTTAAGATTTACATATATTTACATATTTACATATATATATTTACAGATTTACAGATTTATATATACCTTTCAAACAAGACGACAAACATCAGGGAACTCCTAAAATGAGCTATGAGCAAAGACCAGAAAATGCAAAGTAAGGAGATTGTTAAATCCATCATGCTGAACCTTCCAGTTGATTGTTTCCTTCCTTCATCCTGATTGTCTTTCTTTTCTATTTCCATCTTTATTCTCCATAGTCTCTTGTTATTCTTTTTCCTAATTATTTTAAAATTAAGTATTATTTTGTCTGAGAAAATTGTAAGAAATTACTCAGTACTCCATACTTACAAAGCAAAGAAATGAGAAAAGAGACAACAGTTTCCCAAATGGTTTTGTTGCTTTTTTTGCTCTATAGTTGCACAACAAAAATAATGTTCAAGCCTTATAAAGCATACTTACAAACACTTCTTCTGTTATACATGGAGGTTCTGAAAAACATAAATGAAATAGTGTATGTTATCCAAGCAATACAGTAAAGCTGGTTCAACTAGGATTACAATACAGAAACAAAAAGTATTGAGGCATGACACCCTTTCCTGGATATTCTGAAATAAAATTACTTAGCCTGAGGAAATAAAATAAACTAAAAACATGCACTCAAGATGTTGACCCATGCATAAAAAGGTTAACTACCACAAGAATTATTTAAATATAATTCAAGTATTATTTAACTATGTTATTTCTCATACATGTCAGTTAACTTCTTGTCAGCAAAATTTTTCCTCTGCAAAATTGATTACTAGAAGCTAGGTGGTTTTAATGAAAATACAGATTTATATGAGACTCTTGGAGCTTTGAACAGTGAATATTAAGAAATATCTGATAAAATTAAGAAGATACAATTGTGAATGTTCCCAGATAACCAAATCTCACTCATTCTAGGAGAATATCCTATCTTTTGTGATGCTATTTGAAGGCAGCAAAGTTCTCTCTGCAGAGCAATAAATTCTGATGGGCAAGTTTAAACCTGGCAATTCAAAATCCCGCTCTTTCCGTGTCACCACCTCTGTGTCTGTCTGTACCCCTGTCACGTCTCTGTGCCTGGGGCCGTCACCGTGGGGCCAGACCCCTCGTCTGACACGGATCCAGCCCATACCCTGCGTGGAAATTGCGACGTACCTGTGGTGAGCCTCTTCGACTGCATCCTGGGGCTGCCGACCTCGGCCGCGGAGGTGAAAGGCCGGAGGGCAGAGCAGCAGGAGCAGCTGCGGCACCGCCGGGCCTGGCCGGGCCTGCGGCGGCCGCGGGCGGCGTGGCGGGGTTGCAATGGCGCTGCAGGCGGCACCGCCTCAGCCGCAGCCCAGCGCCCCGGGGGTGACCGTCCCAGAGGAGGTGCCTGAGAACCAGGAATGAATCTGAGGATACTTGTAGCCAGAAATGAAATTAAACTCTCCGAGAATGTTAGTTCTCGGTTCGAGGGGGTAACTTGGTTCGAGGGGGTAACTCCAGGATATAAGAAAAAGGCACATTTCTGGAATGGTCAGTGAAAGCTGTGTGCAAAGAAGGAATTCAGGCTCCTGTTTGAGGATTTCAGTGGGCTTTAGGTGTTCCACAGCTGGGACCTGATAAACATCCTACCTAGAGAGTATCTGATACTAGAACTGCATAAATCCTTCAGGGGTTTTTGGCATGAAAGTTCTCTCAAAGGTTCTCCACTGCTGCTTATTTCCAGACCAGCTTTTAGTAGCTTAGCAAAAATCCCGCCTGGATCAGTTGTACAAGATGTCATGTATGCAAGTTAAGTGAAGGGCTCCTTTGAGAGGCCTAATCCATCCACTGTGCTCAGGAAGTGCCCAAAATGTACCAAGACCCTCCCATTCCCAGCAAAATCTGTAATTTGTGCCCCCTTTCATGGAATAGTACAGCATCTCCAGCCATACACCTCAGCTGTGAAAAAAAGTTCTATTTTAATTCATACATGACTTTGCTGGAATTCATGATTAAGTAAAAACTGCACATGCTCAGGGACTGCACCTTAACATCCAGGAATTGATGGCTGTTCAAAGTGAACAAGCAGCAAATCAAATATAATTGAGGTAGGGAAAATGGCTTCATCTCCTAGAAACAAATGATATTTTGCACCCTCTACTCCAGATGTGTCTTCCCACTCCTGGGGATGCCTGCCCAAATACCACAGTCACTGCTCTAATTGCTAAATGTCAGAATGATACTTCTAATTGTGTTCATGTAATATTGTTAGGTGTCTGATCAGCTTTTTTGGGTGGTTTGGGTTTTTTTTTCATTTAAGGGGAGAAAAGTATTTCCAAAGACCTAAGAGATTAGCTGAATAATGTCTTAGTCAAGATACACATTTCAGTCAAAAGTTTTGTATATATGTGAAGAGCATATTCAAGAGAAGCAAAGAATAAAATATAAAAATTCAAACAAATGAGCTATGGACAATTTAAAGATTATTACTCTGATGAAGTATTAACTATTTTTAAGTTCTTTGTATGTGGATTCTATTCAATAAGACATGACAAATAGTAATTTAATGCTTAATGACATACACACACTTTCCTAGTGCTATATATCGGGACATGTTCTATTGTCACTATGAAATATTTCAAATAGGTATACCTAATGTATATGTAAGAGAAATATGCTTTGCAAGATAGCCCATAAAAGGTAAAGTTAAACCTTTGCAACAGGCAGAAGAATTGTACTCCATTGTATCATCTGGCTGGATTGTCTCATAACCAAACTACTTAATATGATTTTAAGTTTAGGCTAATGTTGATTTCACTCATTTTCCCCAGCCCCTTTTTCTTTCTGATGTAGACATAAACATGGACTTCAGTGTATAACTTTCTCCTAAACTTCCCTAGTTGCTTGTATTTTTCAAAGAAAAAACAATGGAAACATGACTGAATATGCCTTTTTTTTTTTTAATTAGAAGTGGAAGCTACAAGTCAGCTTAGATACAACTGAAGTCTGTAAAGGATTCAATTAAAAATAAAATAAAATATAATACAATAAAATAAAATGGTCCTTTTTCTCTCCTTCTGTCATCTATTATATTTCAATATAAAACTCTTAGGTCTTTATGCTTTTTGTCATGTGCTTCAAAGATGGCATTTTGGATTAAGCTCATCAGGAAATACACACTGTACCCTCTCATGGAGAAGCTGTCAGCAGTTGTCATCGCTTTCTCATAATCTTACTTAACAACACACTTAGGTCAAATACTTTGTGTATATGCATTTCAGTCCTGATTTTATATTGCCAGTTGAAAGTTCACCAGCTGTAGAGGCTGAGATATAAAGATTAAGCTCATTTTCCTCATTTTTCACATTTTTCTCTTTCCATGCTCTTCTTTTAATTTTTATTATTTATCTTAGCAGAAGTGCAGGCCCACAGAATGTTTCATAAATGTAGTCAAAGCCATGATCTATCCCAAAACACATCTGATCTTGTAGAAAAAAATGAATGGCTAGGTGGGAAGGAGAATAAGTTCTAAAAAAGATGATACCAGTAAAATACTAGACAAAGAAAGGCAAAATAGTAAAAGTATGTCTTAAATTGTTAGATTTTTTTAGAAAATGGTAATCTAGAAAAAGACCTGCACAGGAAGAGATCTGCACAGGAAGACAAGTGAAAGGAAAACATAAATTGGTCCACTTCATACCTGCTGGCATCTTCCTCCCCTGCTCATTACTGAAGAGCCATTTGGAGAGGTGAACTTTCAGTCAAGATTTAAATCTGTTCTTTCCTCTTTAATTTTCTGAAATTCATACTTTCGGCCATTTATCAGGGAGAGCATTTCAAAATATCACCCAGGCAAAACAGATCAAAACTGCTGAGAGAACTTTTTGCACTCAAAGAACCACACGTATAAGCTATGCCAGCTTGCTGGGTGAGCAAATCTCCTTGGGATTTGTGCAAATAAAGATAAGACATAAAATGAATTGCTTTAGTAAATCCAAATGCACACTTGCATTTTTAGGTGTGAAACAGTGTTTGATTCCCGGCAGTGGTCACAATGAAATCATGAACTTTCTCATAATTAATTACTAATTCAAAAGGAAGCAAATACTACTAACAAAAATGCAGATACACCTCTGGAGAGATTCTCAAAGACAGCTATTAATTTTCAATAGAAGTGCCCAATCTCAAACATAACTAGGCATTTCTTCATGTGATATCTTTAATACCTAAATATCTTTACAGAAATCTAACTTTAGTTAAATGTAACTACTGTTTCTTTTTTTGGATGATTACCACATAGATTTTAGCTTTGCATTTGAAAGTAATGATCTCATAAACTGAAAACAGGTACTAGGAAACCTATTTAAATATTGACTGCAGAAGTGCAAAAATGGGAGTCAGACACTGAGAGGGAAGTACAAATTTATTGTCATACAGCTGGACCTGAAATGCCTTAAATTATTCCATTGGCAAAATACCAGAGGCTGCCTCCTGTGATGGTACAGCCTGTGTTGAATCTGATAGTTCTAGTCTACTGGCACAGTTTAATGCAACGTTGTGGCTGTCAGAAAAGGTTAATGCGAACACCTGAGGAAATTATTATATACAAGCAGTCAAAAGAATTCTAAAAGGAGGAAAAAAAACCCTTCCCAAAGATAGCCTAGGTGAAGAGAAAAAAGTGTTTAAAAATAAAATAGGATAGGCCAATGGCATCTCAGCCTGTGTCAAAAATAATGTGGCCAGCAGGACCAGGGCAGTGGTTGTCCCCCTGTACTCAGCACTGGCGAGGCTGTACCTTGAGTCCTGTGTCCAGTTCTGGACCCTTCTCTACAGGAAAGACATTGAGGAGCTGGAGTGAGTCCAGAGAAGGATATCAGAGCTGGTGAATGGTCTGGAGCACAAGTTTGATGAGAAGTGGCTGAGGGAGCTGGGGGTGTTTAGCCTGGAGAAGAGGATGCTCACTCTCTACAACTACCTGAAAGGAGGTTGTAGCAAGGTAGGGGTGGGGCTGTTCTCCCAGGTAGCAGGCAATAGGACAAAAGGAAATAGCATCAAGTTGTGCCAGAGAAGGTCTAGACTGGACATTAGGAAAAAAATCTTCACCAAAAGGATGTCAAGCACTGGAACAAGCTACACAAGGAAGTAGTTGAGTCACTACCCCTGAAGGTATTTAAGGGATGCGTAGAGTGGCACTTAGGGACATGGTTTAATGGTGGAATTTGCAGTGCCAGGTTAAGGGTTGGAATTGATGATCTTAGAGGTCTTTTCCAACTTAAAGAATTTTATGATTCTAGAAATGGTAAAGGAAGAAATGTGACATCTTTGGGCTATCAACATTAGAAACCTTTTACTACTGGAGGAGAGTTTCAGAGGGAAGTCCAAAGAGCTTGACCTCTACAGAAGTCTTTATTTGGATAGTCACTGGAGAATACTTTTTGACTTTTCCATGCCACCAATGGCCCAAGGATTCCTATAACAATTTTATATTATCAGGACAATGTAGAGGTGTTTTATCAAATTTAAAGGCTTTAAGTGAGGTTTGATTTCCATTTGCCTAACATGGGTCTTGGTTTTAAGTAAGGGGTTTTTTTTAACATAAAGGGAATACAGAGAGACATACCTGGAAAGTGAACCAAAATTTGGAAGGACCACGTAGCAGTTTGTGATACACACTTGTACTCTTATTACCTCCTACCTGCCAGTTGCCTACTTCATAACTGCAGACATCTAATTCCTTCATAAATTTGTATTAGTGTCTTAAGGCATAACTCCTAGAACTTTAGGAGAATATCACGCTGCCTCTTCTGATTTTGGAAAGGAGCATTAAGACTTAGTGCAAAAACTATTCAGTAAGATTATGAAATATTTATTAGAAATAATCATAGAAATAAATTATTTAGAAATAATTATTAGAAATAAGGTATTAAAGTCAGTCTGCAAAGACAATATGAAAATTAGGAAAGAACTACTAGAACCACAGCTATCAAACCACATACAAGATAAAAACATTGGCATGGTGTGTAAGTTTACATCAAGGCAGAGAGAGTTTTTTGCTAGCAGCCCTACTAGAGCTGATGTAGCATATCTTTCCGCTGAAACATAAGATGCAGATCAGAAGAAACTGTGACAGTTATTTCTCACAGAGACTTCACTGTCAGGGGATGCATCCAAAATTTTTGCACTGTGTACAAAAGTTTGAATTGTTATTGTCTATTATCTATTTTTCATGTAGATAAACTGGAGTCACAGTTTGTAATACATTTGGCTCCACTAATTTAAGCTTTTCAAGTTTACCACCACTTCTTACTTTTAGTTGGGCAAGTAAATTTCTGACAATTTATTTTTATGGGGTTACTTGCAGCTTGGTTTAAGTCAGGAGAGTTTCTTGATCTTGGCTTAGCAGGTGATCCAGTCCACTAAAGGTCCAACGCAAGAGGTATAGGAAGAAGCTTCAGCAGATAGGAATAACATATGCCAATAGGGTCAAACTCCTTTAGCAAATCATCTCCTGGCAGTTGGTGTCATATACCTAATAAGAAACACTAAATGCATGCGTGTCTTCCCAGTCTTGCTATCAGACAGGTGTCAACAGCAGTCCCCAAACCCAGGATTCCCCAACTAAGTTAACCATGTAAGATATTACTGATGCATCAATCCTGGGGATAGCAGCACTGCTGTTTGTGACAGAACATCCTACTGACCACCAGTTACCACCTTTTTGTGTTAAACTGCCATGGCTGCTCTGGGGTTCCATAATTAACCAGGTTGGGGAACTGATCCCGTGGAAAGAAAAAAAAAACAGAAGAAAAAAAGAAAAATACTTCATGTTCATCAGCTTCCAAGTGAAGAATAAAGAACACATTAAGTTACCAAATTCTCACCCAGCCTTCATTTAACAGACTAAAAATAAAAACAAACAAACAAAAACAGTGCCATTCTGATATTGTTTAAAATGTTATATGGAAATAATGAGTCTCTTCCCAATTTGAGTTTAAAAAAGTTAATGTTAAAGCCTTCAGAACATCAAGTAAGTATGAACAGAATGCATGCAATATTTTTCCTATGATCATTTCTAAATCATGATAGAAGAAGCGTTTGTACACTATTCATACTTCATAAAACCATATTGGATTTTATTATCAAATATATTTTCCATACTTAGGGAATAAAGTCCTGAAACTATCAATTCTCAAACATTTAACTGCAACACTTTCATGGGAGAGTTATGTTTTGTAGCCAACCCCAGAGTGGCGTGGAGGCTGCTGGATAATCCAAGTTCATGGTCGAGAGAGGAACTGAGCCTGGAGGCACTGTTTAGGCCAATCTGTGATTCTGTGATTTTGCCTGGTTGCTGTAGGACCTGGCGATGCGCCCAGCACAGCTTCACCTTGTAAAGGAGGCCCTGAAGAAGTAATACCATCCGAATTACTTCCCAGGATACCACTCCTCTCGTAGATTTTGGTATGCAGCTCCTGGGGGCAGGAATTATGGCCACTGTTGCTTTAAGGCACTCAAAACATTTTGCATTTGTAACGTTGAGTTAGCGTGCAAGGGTTAAAGCAAGAAGAAAAACAACTAAACTTCTGTTCTGTAAGAAAAATCTTTGCTGCCCTCTTGTGATGAAAATATTTTATCAACAGCATTTGAAATCAAAGACTATTTTCAGTGAGAAAACAGTTCAACCCTTAATATAGTTTCACATTTAAGTAAGTTAATTGAGCAAAGCATTTCAGGAATTAGTTTGTTTTATTGTTATCCATTCTATGTTGTATGCTATTCTCCCTGGACTACTGTATGGCAATTATTTAAACCAAGGAAAAAGTCCAGAACAGGAATTTAACAGTGAGCATTTCCATTTGGAGCACAAAACAGGATCCATCATACTCCCTCTTATTATGCATATTTGAATATGCATAATAGCCTCAAACATTTTCTTGACAGAAACACTTCCAACAGGACGGCTGATGTGTTATTGCATCCCAATGATATTTTTTGTACACCACAACAAAATACGTAGCAGGAAAGTGATAAAGGAAAATTAAACCTGAAATTGCAGTATTTCATGGGATTGCTGCTTTTAGACAAATCTTTTCCAAAGAGGGGAGAATGTTCTCAACACAAGCAAAACTCATGTTTAAAAGCCAAAGAAGGTGCTATTGCCAAAGTTTTTGTAGCATCTAATCTATCAAAATGTGCACCAGGAAAATGTGATGGATC